TACATCCAGTATAAATAATAATAAGAAATGTAGATTTTTTTTTATTTCTCAAGGTCAAATGCCTTTGAATTGAAAATTAGATTTCCTCCAACCTTTGAAAGAACTGCCCACTTTTACCAATATCATGAGTCAAAAAATTGAAAATTGAAACAAAAAATATAAAGAAAACATATTTACTGATTTCAGTAAAACAGGTACAATTCAGGTACATAAATCAAAATATATTTCACTTCGTCTACACTATAACTATATAGAACATCTCGTGGAACTGGACCATGAAACATACCTAATACAAAATATTTTCTAAGAATATTTTTGTGAAGATGATATTTTATGTAACAAAATTGAAGATAGTAATTTGTTTATGTACACACAAACGAAACAGAAACGATAAACATAAACATAACCCCAAATATTTTGACGTAGACTGAGATTCGATTTGCTCGAAACACGAATAAAAAAGGGAAGAGTTAGACATAATGTCACGAACACACAGGGTACAGGAGCCATGGACATAGAACAGAAAGCACAGATCACAAAATCTTAGATTGAAAGAACCATGCACAGAACATCAGATGACATCGGTTTTTTCATCTCGCCTACTTATCATCAACAAATTTTGACTATAAACGGTCTAATATGGTCCGACTTCGAAAAAAGAGAACATTTACGTCCCAAATGGAAAAAGATAGAGTACGAGGACAGCAGCCTCAAAAAAGAGTACTTGTACTATAAAAAGAGTACGTCTGGTCACCACACTTTATTAAAGTGTTATACCTACTTGGCCATGGGCAGAGTTGACCAATTAAACCATAAATCTCCGTTACACAGAGATCGATACGAGTTTCTAGCGGCGAGATAGGATCAAAAACACTTTCGTTGTGATTTACGATCGGTTTCCCCGAAATACATTGCTTCTTACCGATGTTCGAACATCTTTTTAGAAAGTGCAGTACTCGATCTCAGCAGGCGTTTTATGCGAAAACGGTTTTTTGGGGTCACTGACCTACCGCAATCCTTAATCCTTCGATTCTCATTCTGTGCGTGCGTTGATTCCGGAAACGTGGAACTCACTCAGTTCATGTGGGTGGGGGTCAAGTCGAGGAAAAAAATAACGCGTGCCGGGGCATCTCCATCCCGCAAATTTCATAATCTCGACCACCATTCGCTGCATTCTAGTTAATTCATGATACAATGTATGGAGTCTAATAATTTCATTATTTTTCATGATACCGCTCAAGGTCGAAATTTCAAAGAGAATTTCATACTTGAAACATAGATAACGATATGTGTATGTTGTACCTACTCAGGTACCTACTTGTTATTATTTTTTCTCAAAATAATACTTAGTAATGGTACAAACGTTAGTTATTCAAATCAACTTTCTCCAGAGATACACGGTATGAAATTTAAATTCGATTTTAACTCCAGGTCCACACATTATGTCAATTTAGGTCCACACCTCGGTCCGCACCGGACTGTCCTAACTATTTCATAGCTACCCTTTGAATTATACTGACATAAAATGTCTCAGAAATATGAAAATTTTTCGAGAAATCATTTACACAATTTTGATTGAAATTTAAGAAAATTTGAGTTGATGAAACTATTGTCCATTTCCATTTTGACATACAAATATGATATATCTGTGAGGTGAAGTCCTGTTTGGTAATAATAGAGTGACTTTACTGACGACAATAGTGGTAGTCGTATTCAATGAAAAAGCGTACGAGTGTTGAAAAGAGAGGTTTACGACATCCTAGTTCTAGTTGTATAAAACGGGCTCAGCCAATGCTTTCTGTTTTTGAGAACCTATGACAACTTCACTGTCAACATCTGGTAAACAATCATTCCCGATATCCCATTTTACGCAATTATAATGACGTTGATTTCTTTCTGTAATATACTTGAACGCTTTTTTTCTGAACACAGCTGTACACTCGGGTAGGCTTTCTGATTGGTCAGACGTTTAATATGGCGGTGCATCCACCTGCCTTGTGTTCTCCATTCAGTTCTAAGCATTCTATTCCGCTTTGTCAATGCTTCATCTATGTTTTTTGATCTTTGGACTCAAAACATTCGACAATCAGACATGAAACTCTATACGTCAGTACCAAGGTCAGTACCTTGGATATCAATATAACAACTCTTAGAATCAGTCTTTTGGGACTCGTAAGTCTCAGATTCTTTAGATGACGAAATGAAAATATCAAATATCCAAACCTAACGTCAAATGGGCACTTCCAAGGCGCAAATTCATTACAGCATGTGAGATATCCAGATTACGAATGAAGTTTCGGAGCGGCAGCCATTTGGGAGTCTCTATTACTTGTCGTCACTCTATTCAATCTACTCACTCTAGTAATTTGTCACTACCAGAAGCTCAAAGAAATGCTGACTTGCCGACTAGTATAAGATTTTGTAAACCTCAGTACAAAGTTCATATATAAACATTTCCTAGTAGATAGGTATAGCTAGGTACCGTACCAAATATTTAAAATAGTCTATTTTGGTGGCCCATTATTCTCCTGGCTCAGAGAATATAGCATAATGATAAAATAAATAATAGTGAAGGTTTCGGTGAAGGTCACACCGAAAAAACTAACGAGAATTTGATTATTCGAATGTCAAGGTTAAGGTCGCAATTTTCAAATCTCGAGACGTGGTGCTATAAATATACTTTCAGTCTGTGGAATAGATTTATGGAAGTTTTATCTAATAGACTCAAATTCGTGAAATGCAAGCATGGCAACCGAGATAGAAATATTTTAGGTTATAGAAGTAAATTCCGGAAAAATACCAGTCACAAGGATTATACCGAGGTTCACACAAAGTTTACACTACTAACGGTGGTACAAACACTGGTGTAATTTTCTGTTAGACTAAATTCTGTTGATAATGTCGTTTGATTCAGAGCACAACCGACAATTTTTCAATATTGTTAGTATTTTATACATCGTTGCCTCAATTTGAAAGACTAAAATCTCAAAGATAAGACGAGTAGGTAACCTCAGAGGTATCATAAGGTATCCATAGCGAGATCCATGGCAACACCGAAAGAATAATTATTTATTATACAAGGGAAAAAGTATAGAGTGTATAAAACACTATTTTTTCGTGTGATAGGAAAAATGGGCGAGTCAAAATTATATTGAAATCAGAAAATTATCGACGTTTTTATGTTTTTGAGAATTACACATGTGTTGCGGGCATCTTTATCATTCTTTCGAAGTGATCAAAAATATCTGTCAGTCTAATTCTGATTTGATTTGATCAAAAAATTGCGAACTAGAATGGAAGATTAAAGGACATCATGTAGTTCTTTCTCGGAGATGGTGTTATTAGCTTATTTTTTTAACTGGAATTACAAAAACCATCAAAAGTGTATACAGGGTGTAATTTAATTGATGGCTAAAAATGAAGGATATGGTTCCTCAGCTCATTTTAAGAAGAACAATTCATATGAACATAATTATGACCTATGCCTCTTAACTTTCGAGCTATAGGGTGTCAACATTTCAAGAAAAAATTCGCTTTCTCATCGTAACTTCAATACTGTTTAAGATATTTCCATCATGAGATTCCACGTACTAAGCACCAATAGGCAATACTGTTCAAGATATTTCCATGAGATTCCACATGCACCTATACTAAGCACCAATAGGCGTTCTTTGATGCGAAAGATTTTTAAATATTTTCACCAGTGGCGTCCGTATGAAAAGTATAATGGAGATTTTTCTTGAATGACGATATGCCGTTGTTTTTTCCAAAAAAAAAAAACGATTTTGGCAAATTCAAATAGTTGATTCACTCGAATAAAAATTAGAAATCTCAACATCCTAGAGCTCGAAATCGGCTCGATAGATAAGAGGTTTTGGGTATATGTTAATATGAACTTTTCTTGTTGAAATGAGCTTAAGAAATATATTTTATACTCTTAGCCATCAATTAAATTACACCCTGTATATCTGGGAAAAAAGTACTAACTTTTTCCCGTGCGAAAAAAGTGATTTATAAAAAGTGACATTTAATCAAGAGAGATAAAATGTCAATTTATTCTCGTCACAGAAAAAAACAATGTTATTCATTGGTACGCTACTATGCGCTTATTTAAAGAACGCCTCAGCGTGTTTAAATTAAACTTCAAAAAAATTTTTTCAATAAAGTCAACGACCCGAGGAACGTGAACTTTAACATTTCAAATATCGATCTGACAGGAGTACCAAGTAACGTAAAATAAAATATTACTAAAGTGGATAACTGGTATTTCAAACACTTGCTCTATTCCTGCTGTTTGAAAACTTATATTTTCATATATGTAAGTACCTCGGTAAGTACTATTAATTGTAGCATAAGTACATATTAATTCACATAAATCACTGTGTTAGGGTCTCGTGATGTATTCGAGGAACACAGTCATGAAAAAAATAGTGGTCGAAAAAATTCCAAGTAATAGTTTAAATTGAATTCGTAATCAATATTGACAATGAATTTGGGGGACACAATTTGAAGGATTATTATTTTGGCATTGCGTGAAACGTGAAATTGGAATGAATTTGGAGAAAAAATTGTATGTTTCACATATAGCAGAGAAGCATATTTAATGCCTTTGCTGGTTTCCTAGCCTTCGCTATGAAACGCTTTTCGGCCTATACCTAGTAAAACAAATAACTATTGTCATAGTTAAGAGTTGCCTTTGGCTGTCCTCCGGTAGATAAGTTAATGAATTTTTTGACTAAGTAGGTATAATTTGGAAAAGTGTATGTATGTTTATTGCTTTGAAACAGTTTGGAGATGGGGAGGGGTACAGTCCGAAATATCCGCTGATTTCGTTGGACCGTAGAGAAGTAAAACATTGAAAATAGAGATTGAATATTTAATCCAAAGGAAAATCGTAGATATTTTGACCAATCTTAGTCCATTTCGATAAACGGTTTTTCATCCAATAGAATCAAACCTACTCGTCCATTATTACGACACCCGAACTGTAAATAGGATGATTACTGCAACAACTGTTGCCCCTGTTGCCAAGCGAAACGTTCGGCCTTGCCTTGTCCTAATCGAAATGCACCAGCTGAACTGCATCATCACCTTGATACAACTTTCGCACTAGATTCGCGACGAACGACACGAAACTCACCTATTTTTCTCCAATTCGTTATGCGACGTCCTGTAAAACAAAAAGAAACAGAAGTTAGATACCGGGTGTCGTCCACAGAGTGGCAAATAACAATGCACAGTTGGCCATGCCCTTGATCCTGGAGAACAAAGAGCACGGAGGTCGGTCGGTCGGGGTGTAGCGCTCACCTGTTTCCTTGCGACTTTTTCGACTTCGGCCTCCTGCAAACCCCCCTGCTGAGGTCATCGGGAAACCTCAAAGTGGACGCGTATCCGTGCTCAGCCTCTGCAACAACAAAAACAAATCAGAAACAGCTGATGCACGGTCGCCGAATGTGAGGTTAGGCGCCTCTTCGCCCCCACGAACCCACCTCTTTCCCTTCTGGCTATGTATTCGGCGGCTTCTAACAGGGTTTCGATGCTGTTCATATTTAGTTGTGTGAATTTGTAAAGTGTACCTAGAGATGGGCGCAAAACTCGCGAGTTTTTCGACCTTCGCGCGCGCACTCACCTTCCTCAGCCGACTACGAACTGGCTGGCGATTTATCGATGGATCGCGGGTAGCCGTGCACCGCGTTTGATACTCGTTATTCACATGCGCGATTTGCGGCGGTGCCAGATGACGTACTTTCACAGGGAATTGGAACTTTTTTTCTACTCGCAGAAGCTATCTGAATAATTGGAGAAATTATTGATCACAAGTAGGAAAATTCAACCATATGCTCGATAGGTGCTTCAACACAACGAAAAACACGATAAAAGCATCAGTGTTTAAGAGTCCATTTCACTCATTCTGCTAGGGGATCACCTGAGGAATGAGGTGCGAGAGGGTGACGGCGGTAGGCGGAGACATCACAACCCCTTCCACGGCGAATTTGCAAGCATGTATTCAGGTGGTAATTTCGCCCGCTGGCCACTGCCACAGAATACTCAAACATTTCATTATTTTCATTTTACTTGTCTCATCTTATCTATTTTTAGAACAGCTTGGCGCAGTACGGTTATAAAATTGAAAGCATAGGGCATTTTAGGATTTTTAGGATGAAATGAATGAAACGTTATTTATATTCATTTGGATATTGGATACAAATTATTACAATTGTATTATTTCAGAAACTCAGCCATTCATTAGAATATAATTTATAATTGACCCGGCAAACGTTCGAATGAGCAATGTTACTCAGAATTTTATTACTATCTCAGAATTGCCATCACATTTTTTCGATCGTTTTATGTTTTTGAAATAATTGCGAAAAACCAAAATGGTGCGTTTTAGACAATCCCCTGTATCTCCGTTATTTGAAAACTTACATTCTGGCTTTGATATTTCCTGAGCACTTCTTCAAGAACTTTTGAATAAAAAATAGAACAATGAAATATATCTTCCTACGTTTTCGAGATAATTTGAATAACTTTGTTTTTTCTTATGGAAATTTTTAGATTTTAGAAAAATATTAGGAATCATTATTTTTTCGATTATTTGTTGTATAACTCAGAAAGGCTATAGTGTGCACAAAGTTTTCTTTCTCAAATCGGTCAAGGAGGGGATAGAGAATATTTTTATTGAATCGAAACTCATTGGCCCCCCGTCAAAATGATGAAAAAATATTAAAAATCATTATTTTTTCGATTATTTGTTGTATAACTCAGAAAGGCTATCGTGTGCACAAAGTGTTCTTTCCCAAATCGGTCAAGGAGGGGATAGAGAATATTTTTATTAAATCGAAACTCATTGGCCCCCCGTCGTAAATGATGAAAAAATATTAAAAATCATTATTTTTTCGATTATTTGTTGTATAACTCAGAAAGGCTATCGCGTGCACAAAATTTTTTTTCTCATATCGGTCAAGGAGAGGATAGAGAATATATTTCTTGATTTCAAACCCATCGGCCCCCCGTCAAAATGATGAAAAAATATTAAAAATCATTATTTTTTCGATTATTTGTTATATAACACAGAAAGGCTATCGTGTGCACAAAGTTTCCTTTCTCAAATCGATCAAGGATGGAATAGAGAATATATTTTTTGAATCGAAACTCATTGGCCCACCGTCGAAATGATGAAAAAATATAAAAAATCATTATTGTTGCGAATATTTGTTGTATAACTCAGAAAGGCTATCGTGTGCACGAAGTTTTCTTAATAATAATAATGAAAAATAATGATTTCTAATATTGTTACATCATTTTGACGGGGGGCCAATGATTTTCGATTCAAAAAATATATTCTCTATCCCCTCCCTGATCGATTTGAGAAAGGAAACTTTGTGCACAAGATAGCCTTTCTGAGTTATGCAACAAATATTCGCAAAAATAATGATTTTCAATATTTTTCTATCATTTTGACAGGGGGCCAATGAGTTTCGAATCAAGCAATATATTCTCTATCCCATCCTTGATCGATTTGAGAAAGAGAACTTTGTGCACACGATAGCCTTTCTGAGTTATACAACAAATTATAGAAAAAATTATGATTTTTAATATTTTCTCATCATTTTGACGGGGGGCCAATGAGTTTCGGATCAGGAAATATAGTTCTCATCCTTTCCCTGATCGATTTGAGAAAGAAAACTCCTTTCTGAGTTATACAACAAATAATCGAAAAAGTAATGATTTTCAATATTTTTTCATCATTTTGACGGGGGGTTAATGAGTTCATAATCAGGCAGTATATCACATTTTGTCTCCCCGATCGATATGTATTGTAATCCGATATAATATGGTTGAAAATATTACAAGAATTCTCGTGTATATACGATCGTTTTTATAGGATTAAAATGGCTGCTATCATTCCTTCGTGCATCTTCTTTCTTTGGGCGTGAGGTATATAATCGCGCATCTATGGCGAAGTGGCTGCCAACTGCGGCTGCTGTTTTCACACTAATCACAAAAGTTCGAAAAAATCCAACACCTACATCCTCTCCCTATCCTCCCTAGGTACGCACGATGTTCCACGAGTATTATATTATTCCTTTCGTGCGCTCCAAAAGATGAAAAAAAATCTCCGATCCCGAAAACCACAGGTACAAATTTTAAATAGAACAGGATCATGATTACATAACTCGTCCGCCATATTGGTTCCGTCTGTCCGCCATTTTGAATTGATATCTGAGGGTTTCGGGGACGGAGATTATGATTCTCTCGTCAAAAATTGAAAATTCAAGATGGCGGACGAGTTTTGTAATTATGGTCCGATTCTATTCAAAATCTGTATCTGATGGAGGTTTTCGAAGTCGGAGATTAGGATTCATTTGTCAAAATATGATACGATTTCATTCAAAATTTTTACCTGTAGCTTTTTGGGTCGGAGGTTATGATCCTTTCGTCAAAATTTGGGAATTCGAGCAAACTGAAGAGGAGTAGAAAATGAATAGTGGTTTGAAAAACTGCAGAAACACGCTTTTATTATGATACGATATATTAAACATTTTCAGTCATACTGAGGAAGGCAACTCATTTGTTGAAAAATGTTTCAGGCTTTACTAAATATTGATGTGGTATTCTGGATATATTTTGTATTTGGTTGAATTGATGAAGTACTATTTCGCCAATAGAGAAGCCAATAAAATTAATCAATTTTATATCCATCACGTTCTTTTACTCATCAATTGGCTAGATGTTGCCGGTTCAATAATCACGTTGTCAATTATATCTTCGTAATCCTTGCTATTCGAAGGACTGATAAAGGAAAGTCAATTTTTTATTTTATTTGAAAAATATTATTCTAGAAAAAGCTAAAAAATTAAATAACAATAGAAGGTGGATATAAAATGGATGAATTTTATAGGCTTTTCTATAGGCGAAATAGAACTTCATCAATTCAACCAAATAAAAAATATATCCAAAATACCACATCGATATTTAGTAAAGCCTAAAACATATTCCGGCAACTAGGTTGCCAACCTCAGTATAACTGAAAATGTTCAATATATCGTATTATAATAAAAGCGTGTTTCTGCAGTTTTCCAAACTTCTATTTATTTTCTATTTCAACATGTTTTTTTTTGTGTTCTCTGTCGGTCAGATAATTTATTATTATTATTATTATAATCAAAAATGGCATTTCTGTGCCTTTCTTACTTTCCATTTTCACTTATCACAATAATTGTCCACTTATCTCAAGGAGAACTATAAACACGAGCTATGCACAACTATCTACTTTGGAAGAAACTGTCTCTTAGTGATATTAGGTAACCATGGAATAATGGATGAAGGAATTTATACCTGGATACCGATTAGGCGCGTTCGACCCTGTCTATTCAATTTTGCTTGTGGTGGGACAGCTAATACTTGAAATGACCGCGGCGGCAGCACTCCCCAATGCCGTTCTGAAGTCATTTAGGAAGCTGCAGGGCTTTTTCATTCAACATAGATTCAAAAGCATCCTTCGTCCAATTTCAATGATTATGGTATCAAATGAAAGATAAAAGTCCAATCTACGTACGTGCTGTAAGGCTTTTTTGAAATTTCCTACCCAAATTTCAAAAATCGGCCTCGAAGTAGCTTGATTTTGGTGGAATATTTCGAATCATAATGGAAAAAATTTGAGGAAATTCAAAATTCCATTACAGGACGTACATAGATTCAGGTGTGATCTAATGGCCTGTTTTTGTTTCAAATCGATATGTTCAACCGTTTTCGAGAAATTTCGAATTTGCGTGACCGTTTTATACGTATAAATGCCACTGCGGTGATGGACTCTTAAGCCACATTGAGTGTGTAATATGTAATATGTCATATTGTCTATCACCTATATCCGAAAATTGTTAATATTACAAATTCCTGAATAAAACATTGAGTGTCGAACGTGAATTCTTTTTCAGCGAGTTATGATATGAACACTACTTTTCCTAATGTAGAGCAGTGTATGATGACTAATTCTCTTTCTTTACAGAAGAAAATGATACTGGATGCGCATTCCCAGAATATTCATCAAAATCTTCAAATAAACCATGCATTAACTGATGCAGATAATGGTGAGAATTTTTTTTATATTATCACTTTTCTTCAACAAAATTGAGACCGGCAGAAATATTTGTTTCATTGCTAAATTGACTGAGATTTATGTGAATGAATATTTGAAATAAAAAACAACATATTGAAAAGAGCAGAAATTATAACATTATGTATATTGTGAATATATTAACCTCAATATTAACATTATTATTTAGATACTTTGGTGACTTGGCATGAAAAACATTTAGATTTTTTGCTACTTACATGAAACTAGCAACTATTATTATGGTATGTTCTGTTTCAAAGTGCAAAGTGAAAAATTCTCTACATTTCCTTGATGGGTTCAATGTTCAACAATTCAAGAGCATCATGAAAAACAATCTGTACTGCCTTAAGAAGAAATATTCTGGCATGGATTACAGCAAACATATGCTCTCTGGGATTCTGAAATTCATGAAAAATATAACTTAGATATATTCTCTTCATTATTGAAAACCAAGTTGAAAACATTTTACAAATTCATTCTCCAAATAATAGGAGTTGAAAAACTGAGAATATGAATATGGTCTGCATTGCATGAAGAAATGACTGAAAATTGTTTTCAAAAAACTTACTGTCAGGATTCTTATTCTTCTGTAATAGACACTGAAAACTGATGACAAATTTGTCAAGAATGATATTAAATATTGTGGATTCAAGAACCCCTTCTCAATGTCTCTGATGCAGCTCTTCACAACCAAGGGATATTGCATGATATAAACATAAAATAGTTCCCATTCTTCCTAGAAAAAAAATTGAATTCCTGATAGAAAATAAGTATAGGCCATCATCAAAACAAACCACTCAGAAGTGTTTAAGTTGCTGCTTTCAGGTGGGGGAAAATGTTCTATTCTATTGCAAATAATCCACTTTTTTTGCTACTAAAATTATACTCACTGGTTGTGTAAGTAGTGAAAAGTCAACATCACTGATATTGGGAAGTTCAGGATAGATTGATGTTGCAGTTTTCTTATCAAATTCTTTGAAAAGGGCACTTAGCCTAGCACAATTATAGAATATAAATGAAGATCCTGAAACATTTATCTATTTTTACTTGTGATCCAGTCAGGCTTTGCAAGTATTATTACCTTTATTGGCAGATCTAGTATCATTCACAGTTATTTTTATGGGTTTTTGGGGCTTATTAGCTAGCATTTCTATGGTAACTGATGCTTCCCCTAATTTTCTGAAATATGTGTTCCAAGATTGATTTGCTACTGCAGGAACATGATATTTGTGATAAGCCATCATTTTCATATCATCTGACCTTGTCCTAGAAAAATATAATAATGTATATATATTCAATCACATATTTAATCAGATGTAGGTACCCAATTATTTCTAATGGATCAAAGAACTTCATCAATGCATATTAGTTACCTGTACAAATCCTTTGCAGCTGTTGAGCTTTTTACACCTTTATCATTCAATACAGGTCCACATAAAACATTCACAGTACAATCATCAATTGGATTCAACAATAAATGTACAACAGAACTTCCCTCAGGGATTTCTCTTGTTGATTTGTTGATGAAGTTTTTAGCAACTTCTTTGACTAAGTGTAGGCGCAGCACACTTAAATCAACTTCTGTGTGATCTTCAATGATTGGATGAGTTTGTAAGCAGATAGTTCTCTCGATGACTTTACTGGAACTATAACTATGTCCACACTCAATAACTTGTTCAATAACATTTCTAAGTAGTTCTTGTGATCTCTCAAGAAACAAGAAAGCCTCATTATTTTCTACTACAATTTTGTCAATATGGATTGACCAATTGGTGCTTTCTTCTTTGAGTTGAATAATTTGTTTGTCTACATCTATTCCTGGCATTCCGTAGTCAAAAATATTTACCATTCCATCATTAAGTAACTGTTTATCTAATAAATGGTACCAGTTCCTTATATCCAGTGGGAAACTAATATCACCGGACTGTTGAAGTCTTTTTGTGTGCTTCCTAATTATTTTGTGATCGTTCTCTGAGTTAGTAATCAAGAATTTTTGTAAAAGATAAATAAAATTCTCCAAAATTGTCATTTCTTCTAAAGCAAAACACATAATAATAAATAAAACAGGACTAACAAGAGAAACTATAAAACATAACCATAAAATCTCAGAAGGGAAAAATTTTGATTTCTTCTACTCTTTTTATTTTCAACAAAGAAACGTATCTCTGCTATAGAAAATAATTAAATTTAGTCGAAAAGTTCTGTGTCTCTAAGGGACAAATGGTTTAGACGTTTAATGCAACTGAGAATAAAATAAGAAGAAGAAAATAACTCGATGTCATCCGTCATCAAGATCACTCATCAGTCATTAATGTCATTATCAGATGTCGGATTTGAAATTGAAATATAAAATAAACGTGTATAAACTTTATGAAATGGGTGATGTGCAGTGGAACGTGGCGTGGCTGTACAAATTATATAAATAAACGGTACATATGAATAGAAACTGCCACAATGTCGAAGTTTATCTGCCTGATAGCACTATTCCTTCTAGTTTTCTCTGAATTAGCGCTCGCTCAACTTCTAGAAGGCTTGTATTGTGGCAAAGAAAATTGCTATGATGTGTTGGAAGTCTCCAGAGAAGCCACAAAAAGCGAAATCGGAAAGAACTACAGAAGATTAGCCAGGCAATTCCATCCTGACTTACACCGAAGCGTTGAAGCAAAAGCTGAAGCAGAAATTCAATTCAAAATAGTGGCAAATGCTTATGAGATACTGAAAGATGAAGAATCTCGTACTGACTATGATTATATGCTTGATAATCCTGATGAATACTATGCTCACTACTACAGATATTACAGAAGAAGGGTTGCACCAAAAGTTGATGTTAGAATAGTCCTTATAGTTACTATATCAGTGATAAGTGCTATACAGTATTACAGTGGTTGGCATAGATATGACACTGCAATTAAGTATTTCTCAACAGTGCCAAAGTATAGAAACAAGGCCCTTGATATAGCCAAGCAAGATGGATTACTTGCAGATAATAATAAGAGAGGTAAAGGTAAAGTCAAATTATCCAAAGAAGATACTGAAAATATCATTAAAAAAGTTATCCAAGATAAAATGGATATCAAAGGTGCATATGCTAAACCAAGTATCACTGATATTCTGTGGATTCAGCTCATTTTATCACCTTATACACTTGTTAAATACATTTACTGGTACATTTCATGGATAGTGAGGCATACTGTTTTGAAACAACCTTATAGTGAAGAGGAGAAGCTATATATTATTAGAAAATCCTTGAAAATGAACCAACACCAATTTGATAGTCAAGAAGATGAGAAGAAACAAGAGTTTTTATATAGGGAATTGTGGATTAGGGAGAATTTTGATGAATGGTTCAAGGAAGAAGAGGAGAATACAAAAAAGCAGCTTGCTGAAAGCAATAAGTATAAGCAGTATCGCAGGTACATGAAAAATCATGGTGTTGGCAGAATGACTTTTGATGACTCTTAGTTTGTGATTTCATAAGAGGACTAAAACAATTTTTATTTTTATTCTAATAAATTATTTTCAACTCCCATAATGTTCATTGATTATAGTCCAACTGATTAACCTACATAAAATATATTTACCTACTTGTTTTACTGGATGGGTTTCAATGGGTGAGTTATGCATTTTCATTAATTTTACCTAGTGATTTCATAATAAAAATGATTTTTATTTTTTTATGACCAAATAATTAATATTCTAATACATGGCAATTTAGACTACTTGTTGGATATCTGTTCCAGTTGATTTACTATCATTGTTAAATAATCTTCCATTTCTCTTTCTTTCATAAACTGTTGTGGTTTGAATTAGCTATGGCTAAAATTGATATTTCACATTGTCTATTACTGTTTTGCACTTTCTATATTGCCAAACAATATGGATCAAGTAATTCCAAACTAGAATAAAATCTCAAGCAGTTTCACATTAATATATTAAATTCATTTACATCAGGATGGGCTGGGTGAAGAAATATTTAATATTTCAAATATATTGAAAAATATGGAAATGGAAAAATGGTTCCTAGTCTTCCTACTTACAACTTTCTTAGAATATATTTTAGATGTTCTAGAACCCTCACCTATACAAATATTTACATTATTTGAAATCAAATCTTATTTGATGAACCCTAAAATCCACTGGCAAAAACAACACAAATAGTAAATAGATAAAATTAGATAGCTAAGTATATCAATTCATCATCAATAATAAGCTACAACTAGAAGTAGAAAAACTTAAATATATGAGTTGCTTATACATTGTTCTCAAAACACATAAAAAAGATTGGAACCTATTTTCAAAATTTTTATTTCATATTTATAGTCAAGATAATTTTGCTGAATTTCAAATATGTATAAGGATACCTACCTAATCATTTTTTAATAATTATATAATTTGCATGGTTTTCCTTAAATATATCTTCTGAGTGACCTAATGAAATTCCCCCTCAAAACTATTCAATGTGTTTAGGGAACAGTCTTAAACTCAAAGCATATAACTCAATTTTCTGTGGAATCATAGATCTGAAAATTGGTTGAACCATAGATTAACAACTCTTTTTAATCTATGGTTTGAACTAATACAGATTTTAAATAACAATAAAAAATGCATCATGGTGTGGATTGTTCTTTTCTATGCTGCTGCAAATATCCTTGTTTCTGGAATTTCTGTAAATACAAATGAAGGTGTACACATCAGCTGTTATGAATTTTGAACAATAATGCTGCATATCAGGTGATTGTTCCTTTGATTTTGGAACCACTACAGTGTGAATTTTTCGGGGTACAAGGTTTTGGTAAAAGTAGTAACTGAAAATTGTTTTCTCACAACACAACTCAAGAAGGGTTGAATTTGAAATCTTTATTATTTATGAAATTTATTCAAATCACAATAAGAACTATCACCTGGGAAGCCTGCAATACAATGTATCTAGCCCTGTATCATGAGATATTATGTTTATTTTACCTGCCACTGATCCATGTTGATAGAACTTATGATTTGAGTATTGACACCACCATCATCTCTGAATGCTTTTAAATCTCTTTTCCCAATTGGTTTTATTATTGGTTCCCCTCTACTGTCTGAGAATAATAATGATATGTTAAATAATACCTCTAGATCTAGAGCAGACAGACTATTTAGCTCTCAAAAATCCTTGATGAGATTCTACAGAAAACACAATCTACATATTTTCCAATCAATAAATTCACAAGGATGAGTGTTTGTTTTGAGAGGAATTTTTTTATTCAAAAGAACTTACCAAGATCAATATGAGCCCTGCCATCTCTGATTAAAAATGCAAAATAAAACATATTTTGCACAGTATTGGCAAAATCATCAGTATCCATGATATAATCATAATATTTGATAGGCTCCCTATCATTTTCATTATATTTCACTAGCAGAACATCATATAGTACTTTGACAATTTCCTCTATCCCTTCTTCTTCCTTTTCAACAGTGGTAATTTTTTCTGGTTCTTTCTTTTGCAATTTTTCTTTGGTTGCTTTCACTCTTTCTTTCTTTGGTTTAGGTTGTGGTAAATTGTTTAAATCATATGATCCATACACATAATAGTAATCAGGTATTTTTGGTATGATCACCCTAGAATCTTCTAGAAGTTTCAATAAATCTGTATCTTTCATTTCCTCACTATCTTCATCTTGAATATGTCCAATCTGAAATTGAAATACAGTATTTCTAATAAATATTCTATAACACTAGTTCCTCACTATTTTATTTGAGAATTCACTCTGTTCATATGTTGAGGTAAAAACATCAACTGCTTCTATGCATCTTTTCAATAAACTACTAGCTGATGAGAGTATCATGCAGTCCAAAAGAGTCTCATCAGCTTGGTCAACTCTGTCATCAATATTACACTCTGTATCAAGTGAATTGGCTTCACGTATCACATCTCCAATGTCTTTGACTGACTGTAGGCCTACATCTTCGGATTCTTCTGCAAAAAATGTGTTTTGCTTAAAATGCTTTCAAATTCTTACAAATTGGGCCACTTTGAATGATTATATTCTATGTGGTGTGGTCAATCATTAAGATAACTACTACTCACGTATCCCCTCAACTTTACTCAATAGACTTCGGTACGAGAGTTTTCTCTGCTGCGCGTTTCTCCTCATTGATTGATTATTTTCTTGATCGTCGTCAACTGAGTTTTGTACACTATTCATGTTGGAATCTGAAAAATGAAAATATTTAAAATATTTTTGAGGTTATATTCTCTGCTTCTTTTCTTCACTCATACTTTGCAGAAGGATGTTAGAATCCTTAGAGAATTAGAACAACGATGTGTTCAGAACCAAGGTTGGTAGAAGTGATGATTATTTTATTATCATCAGCTCTACCAACCTTGTTCAGAACTAATTTTTGAACATCCTTGCCCACATCCTTCTCCCTTGACCACGGTTCATCCCGTCGGACAGTCTAGATATTTAGCCGTCATTGCCTTGACTAATGACGTATGTGTGTGTACCTCAATGAACTGTATGTAAACAACACCCAACAACACCTGTGATGTATACAGGGTGAATCAAACTCGATATTATTGGTATTCGATTTTCGATAGTATAGCCGTTGATTGCTTTATTAAGCGTAATATATCAATCAACGGTAAAGTATAGATATTTTATCTCTCTCGAAAATTAATGTCCAGTACTAATTTAATATACAGGGTGACATATTGAGATAAATACAAATATTTCAAATCCGTCAACGTAGGTACACTTGTCTTCAGTGAACAAGTCGAGGTTGGACGGTATGAGCGCTCTCATTGCAGCATTGAATTAGAGAGCTGACACCGTCCATGTGTGACTTTTTCTCTGAAGACCTATCGAATTTGAGATGGAAATAAAATTTGGACCATGACCTCTTTTCCACCGAAAGTACTATCAATCACCTAGCTCTGTACAAATTTTCATGCGGAAGACACGACAATCACATGTATAATCATTCAAATTGTCCTGAAGCTAGTGGGGTACGGTATTTTTTTTTTTTCGTTTCTGGTTCAATTTCCAAGGTGAAATTTGTATTTTTTTTTCTTTTCTGGTTCAATTTCCAAGGTGAAATTATAAGAATGGGAGAAAAACCTGATATTTTGGCAAAAACACCTTTATAATAATCAATTCAAAAAGTGGAAAATGTACTTACTCAACACAAAACAACATTTTTTTCTATGTATACTTTATTGATAGCCTATATATAGATCGACATACGTACAATACATAATTAAAATATCTTTTTTGATATCATCCAACTATAATAATTCATTTCAGACTGTTGAAAAATTACATTAGGCACAGCATTATATATTGGCCCTTCTATTTCATTTTTTCAACTGAATATAATAGGTAATTATAATATAATAAGTATAAATAGAGGTGCGTTCGCCTGTATTTTGTTTCTATCTAAACAATTATTTCTGAATACAAGTATTTGGATTATCATCAGTACCTATATAAAACATTTGACATTATTATTCATTATGGAAATGTAGGTGCAAAGAATATAAATAGTCAAATTCAATCAAATTATAAGGGAGAGGTGATATAGAATAGTTTACCTAACAAGTGCGGAATTTGATAGCGGAGTGCGAAAAAAAGTAACTTTACGCACGTATTAGTTACACAATTTTTCCTACTATAGCCTGCCGAAGAAAAGACGGAAGTTGACATAAAGAAACTTTAATTATTATTGAATATTAAAATGACAGTATACTCCCCAAAAACTTAACAAACTTACTTTTCGGAACTAGTGCCGAAAAAGCAAAGAATAGTAGGTTTCTTTGGAAAAAGTGACTATTTCAACACAACCATCAGTCAGGCTAGTAGGAAAAAATATTATCAGCATTGTCTATCGAATTATCATAATAAAATACCAAATTCAAAGTTGATGAGCATCAAACTTTCAACTGAAACTGTCGATGTTTTGGTGTCTTCTGATAGGTTTACAGATGTATACACCGTGTCCCAGCTAAAATGTCCCCCATGTAAAATATTAACCGCGCGATCGAATGACTTGAAATTCGGTCACCCAGTATATTTGATGATTTTCACTCGAAATATGCTATTGAATGAATCGTAAGTATACAGGGTCATACCGAACTGCACCTTAACTTTTCGGTTTGAATAGGGACACCCAGTATATTATTCCATATTCAAGTAGAGTTCATTATTACAAATTCAACAATGCCGGGTTTGGTGGGATATTTTCAAACGACTACGAAGATATGACAACAAATGAAACGATTCAATAACAAATTCATATGATTAGATTTTATTAATATAACACGATTGAAATTCAATGAAAAGATAATTATTAAAACCTCAACTCCTCATTATGTCGTCCATTCTGCTACAAACATTTCCTAGCTCTTTTGATAACGTTCATCATTGTGACCCTATATATGTATCACGTTGCGAACAATTAGTGCGTATAAATTCGTGATTTTCTCTTTCATTTATTCCATATTCACAAATTGGCGACTCATAAACCTGTTGTTTCAATTAGCCCCACAAATAAAAATCGAGCGGGGTGAGGTCTGGCGACCGAGCTGGCCGGTTGCTATCACCATCGAGACAATTGGTGGTAATTAGATGTCAAACCGATGGCGAAGATAATCCTTTACGGGTCTGTAGTTATGTGCAGGACACCCATCATTCAATTTCGATCGTGTTATATTAATAAAATCTAATCATATAAATTTTGTATTGAATCGTTTTATTTTTTGCCATATCTTCGTAGTCGTTTGAAAAAATCTCATCTAACCAGGCATTCTTGAATTTGTAATAATGAACTCTACTTGAATATGGGATAATATACTGGGTGTCCCTATTCAAATAAGAAAGTTGAGGTGCACTTCGTTGTGACCCTGTATACCTACGATTTATTCAATAGCATATTTCGAGTGAGCATCATCAAATATACTGGGTGACCAAATTTCAAGTCATTCGATCGCGCGGTTGATTTTTTACAGGAGGGGACATTTTAGCTGGGACACGGTGTATAGGTACTTTACAGATTAAGCATAATTATTATCCTGTCACTTCTTGAAGATCCTAAAAATATTACAGTTATTAAGAATATAGGGGTAGCTATTTAATATTTGCTGTACATTTTCTCAACTCATCTTAAACCTCACTATTTACAGCTTTTTATAGACAATAATTCACATTCATATAAAAAAACGAAAAAAATATGACACATTATTTTGAACTGCTTTTACCAAAAAGCTAAAACTAATATATAATAGCTTATAATACTTATACTTGCTATTTCTACTCCACTTTTGTCACCTCGTTTTGATGATAGGTCTGATCTGCTATATTCATACACTATACAGGGTGTTGCGAAATTCGACCGACAACGCTTGACAGGTGATACAGGGCGTTAAAGATAAGAAATAAAAATAGTTGTTTTGTAATATCTCAAGAATAATTGAATATAATGCATTCAACTTCAATTTCATCTTTGGATGGGTCATTTTTTGACCAGAAAGCCATTCCGAATATTTTGTCCAGTGGTGCCCTACAAGGGGTTGTGGCAACTTTTCCTCCCATATATTTTCTACGCCACTGATTAAATTACGATTATTTCCAATTCCTCGAATTCATTGTTCAACTTTGTTCAAAAAATGCATCACCCTCAACTGAGCTGAAATGAACAGGTTTCGAGATATTCGACCCAAAATAGAAGATTGCATAGTAATATTCCATCATTTTCAGTAGTAGAAAATTGGAAGAATATTTTTCTGGTGTTGAGGAGATTAGATACTATTCAGATCTCATTTTGTACCTGAACAGAAATAGTTATTCCACGCATAGAGAGAAAACAAAAATGTTTGTAAATTTCTGCTACTGAGGAAGATGAAAAATTACTATGCAAACTTCTATTCTGGGTCAAATATCTCGATAACTGTTCATTTTAGCTTAGTTGAAGATGATGCAGTTTTTCAACATAATTGAACAATCAATTCGAGAAATTGGAAATAATGGAAATTTCATCAGTGGCGTAGAAAATATGGAAGGAAAAGTTATCACAACCCTCTGTAGCGCACCTCTGGATAGAATTCTCGGAATGCCTTTCTGGTCAACAAATCAACCATTGAATGATGAAACCATATACCAAATATAAATGCATTATATACAATTTTTCTTGAGATATTGCGAAAAAACTATTTCAATTTCTTAACTATCTCAGTGATTATGAAATCACGAGGGCTATCACCTAGGTGCTGTCAAGCGTTGTCGGTCGAATTTCGCAACACCCTGTATATTTGTTATCAAATATGAGGAGTATTATTTTCATTACATTCCATTAGTAGGTGCTAAGATTTAATTCAAAACTTTATAATTTTTTATTGTTACAATGTGTGAGATTAGTATCTAGAATAGTGAGAGTTTTGAATAGTAACTGATCAGAATTCGCAAAAAATACAAACTCCCTGCTATTCATCCTTCTTATATTTGCCATTGTAGAACGGTACATACTGTAGAACAGCTTTCCACTCGCAAAAATACAAAGTACACAAAGTTCCTGCCGCCGTATAGATCACCAAACTCGGAATATAATTCCGGAAAATCTCAATGTGCTTCGGTCCTATCAGTCTCAGAAATCTCGGCGACTCGATTGAAAAATTTGATTTTTGCTCGGATCTTTGTTTCATGGGCTCATCGCATTTTTCCTTTTCTTCCAGAATTTCCGCCTTGGTCTTGCAAACGATTTTGGATTTCGATAAGTGACCACCGTCTTTCCGACAATCTTGGACCATCGTTAATAAAATAGTAGGTAATCTCGATGTTCAGTGAATATTGAAATTTATTATATTGATTGACTTTCGATGTCAAATTGGAAGTCTTTATGGCATGTCAAAGGAAAATATAACCACTCAAGACATTTTCTACGAATGATCCAGAGTAGTTATTTGTTTTACTAGACAGAAAAGTACAAGATTTGATGCCGCTGCTGACGTTTCATAGCCAAGGCTAGGGTCCCTTGATGGAAATTGACGATAAAGTCATCTTAACAGGGTACGGACAGATCCTCGTCTCCTCTCACTCTAAAGTGTTTGTGAAACAGTTACATAGTTCCATCCTCATTCGATTCTGTGGATAAACATGGGATAAACACTAGATTCTTGACATTCGTTGTGTTTTTTAGGTTATATTGAGGTCACTGGCGTATCATACGTAATTTCCATATGGAATTCCTGATTCAACTATACCAAGATATAGATGAACAATCATCTAGTTTTAGAGTTTACTACTCCAGCATAATCTTTGCGATTTAGGGAACATATAAATTGTACTGAAAGCTCAATATATTTCACCAAAAGAGACTGTTCTTAGACTGTATGCCAGGGTCGACTGAATTGACTGAATAAATTCTGATTTCAAGCTGAGCAGTAGTTTATCTATGAGCTGAGCCTTATGATTGAGAAATGGTGGAAACCTCGATGTGGGTATCTGGACTACTGTACTCATGTCATGTGTGCTGATTGTATTTTCAGAAATCCAACTCAGAGAAGAATTCATGGAGTTACTAATATCACACTATGTATAAAACTTCGTCTAGGACGAAAAGATAAATCAATACGTAAAATGTGCAGGAAAATAAAGAATAGAATATACTTCACCCCCATGTTATACATATGATATTTCTGTCTCTTTTGAATAAAGAGTCATTTTCGAATAATTTATTGATAAAAGTAACAAAGAAGTAGGTATACGCTAAGTATACGCAGTATAACTTATAGGCACGTTATTTTCACTCTTGTATCCTACATATTTTCTATTTGTGGCAGAGTAATTATTATATTAACTAATGTCTTTCGCCATATTGGATCCGTCATCTTGAAGGTTTCAATTTTTGGCAAAACAATCATTATCTCCTACCCCGAAAACCCCAAGATACCAATGTTGAATAGAATCGGATCTTCATTACAAAACTCATCCACTATATTGGATCCGCCATCTTGAATATCCCAATTTTGAAGAAATAATTATAATCCCCAGATTTTGATTTTTTGAATAGAATCGGATCATAATTACAAGGTTCGTTCGCCATATTGGATCCGTTATCTTGAATTTCCCAATGTTGACAAAGAATCATAAAGTTCGACCCCTAAAACCCTCAGATACCAATCTTAAATAGAATCAGATCATAATTAGAAATCCCTTTTGCTATATATTGGATCCGTCATCTTGAATTTTCCAAGTTTGACGAAACAATCATCTCCAAACCCGGAAACCCACACACAACACCTTCCAATTTTGAATAGAATGGGATCATAATTACAAATGTCGTTCGCCATATGATCTTCCCCAACAAGTAAATATCCTGTACATAACTATTATTAAAATTTTGAATGATTTTCTGTAGCGCCCATGGATGTGACGTGACAGCAATGTCAGGGATGCCAGTAGACAAAACTAAAATCTCTAGATCATTAAAAAAGAATGCAGCTATGATCTGTCTGTACCCTGTTAAGATGACTTTAACGTCAATTTCCATCAAGGGACCCTAGCCAAGACGAAGTTGAAACCAGCCAAGGCAATGAATCAGCTTTTCTGCCATGTGAAACACATAATTGAGCCATGTTTTTGACATATTGGATATATTTATTTGGCTTTTCTGTGTTGGTAGCATTTTCCATTTTCTCATTTAACAAAATGCCAAATTTTTGTCACTTTGTCACCCTCAGTATTGTCATGTCAAGAAAATGTCAGTTCAAATTCAAATTTAAAATTTCGAACTTTCAATAAAATTCGTATAGAATCTCTGAAATCAAGAGCCTCGTTGGAAGCAGTGAAGCCCGGATACAAATGTGTGATCACTGATCAGGGGATGTGGAAATACTTCTGAAGAAACAAAAACTATATTCCATGAGTTTCCAAGAAAGTTTCACATAAGGAGGGAATAGATAAGAAAAATTGGTAAAACTGCATTTAGCATGCGATGGGTTTTTTTCCGAAAATTTTTTTTGGTACTTACGTATTTTTGTCTGAAAAACACGAATTTGATAATGAAAATGTGAACAAACCACTATTTATCAAGATATTTCACTATAAAGTTTCAAATTTCACCTTCTTTTCCGCCTGTCTTCTGGATTGAATTTTAAACAATTCACCCTTCTTTTTTCATCATTGGACAATTTATATATATCACAATGTAAGACACATTTTTTTCTATTATTGAGTCAACTAGAAATATGATTTTCTTGTGATTTATCCATATTTATTGAAAAGAAGGAAGAATATCATTTGAAATAATGGCGTGTGTAATGTCATTCCAAAGCAATCTATTGACATTTGACATCTCGTATCTGGATTGCCTATGGATAAAATGGCCGTCATCTGGTATGCTTGCTCACTAAATAGGAAAAACTCACCATAAAAATCATATTTCCTGTTGAATTTTCTGTATAAAATTGTGTCATTGAAGTACATCATGAGTATATAAAGTGTCCAATGACAAAATAAGAAGAGCAAGTACCTGAAAATGCATCCAACGCAAGGGGAAAAAGGAGTCGAAATTTCGAACTTTTTTTTGAAATATCTCGATGAATAGTGGTTTGTTCACATTTTCATTATCAAATTCGTGTTTTTCAGACAAAAATACGTAAGTACCAAAAAAATTTTCGAAAAAAAAACCATCGCATGCTAAATGCAGTTTTACCGAAAAATTGAAAAATCAGGTAAGGGTTTGAATAAGATCAGGCCGTACGGACCTCAAAAAAATGCTGCATCAAATTCTGGTCTAGGAAAGCCTAGATAGTTGTAAACTGTGAAGGGTCCAACAAAATGGGACCTGCAGAACATAACCTGGAATCTCGACATTCTCATCAGCCAGGTATACATACTGTTGCTTAATTTTTCATTCCCGCGTCATAATTATCCTGTTTTCAGACAATCGAATTGCAAAGAAGGCAACGAAAACTAAACGTATAAATAATAATGTTCAATTACATGAATCCCAATCTGGTGTGGACGGTTCCTCACTGCTATCAACCGTTTCAAATTAATCCGGTACACCGTATTTTAATTTAGATATTGTGTCTGATTTCCGAAAATAAAGGTTTATCGATCCTGTCCACAGGTAACTAATCCTTCAAGTTGGGAAAGTAGGATATATAAAAGTTGAGCAAGCCAACGTTGGCTCAGTACCAGTACCAGTATATCACCTGGCGAAGCTACTGTGTTAGAGAAACATGTTGTGTATTCATCTTCTTTAAACATTTTTCAAAACAAGGTGACATTGACTATATGGATTCAATTTTTCTCTTAGGTTTTGTGATGTTGAAATTATCAAATGCAATGACATGTTGGAGGCAAATCATCTGATTTGTCCTTATATAACACATATTGAAAAATCACAGAAAATCAAGAAAAATTCATGTTATTTTCAAAACTTTCGGTTTTGCAAGCAACAGTTTACAAGACAATTCCTGGACTCTTTCAATCCTTTTCAATAGTCGGGATCTTGCATGGGTCGAATCTATAGTAATTGCTAGGCTTTTGAAGGTATGCTAGAAAGTTCCTCATTTCTCCTTATTATCGATCTTGTACTCTCTCAATCAAATCTTTTTATACAGGACTGCAACACTCACTAGGGCATCCAGCAGATTGCTTCTCTCTCAATTCATTCTCATACTAAAATGTGGTCGAGGTGAGGAACAACAGCCCTTAGTGTTCCTTGAAGTTTCCACTGCTTCCAATGAAGTGATTTCCCACAGAGCTGCAATCGTCGCTGAGGCTTTATGTGTTGCAAAATAAGTCATGTTTCGATCTTATACTGGATATGCTCGAGGTGAGGAATCTCAGCTTGGATTTCCTTGCAGATCTGTGGAGTCCTTCTTCTCAGGCCTGCAACGCTCGATAATGGCGTTCAGAGGAGTTTAAGTCACGTGAATTCGCTCTCTTCTGCTCAAAGTGAGTAACCTCGGCTTTGTGTCCTTGCAGTCCTCAGTCAAGTTCTTTCCCACAGGGTGGCAACCATCGCTGGGGATTCTGGAGTTGTCCAAGAAAATTTAGTTGCTTTCCTTCCTTCACGATCTAGTACTGGAAATGCTTGAATTGAGGAATCTCAGCTTTAAGTTCCTTGCAGCTCTGTCAAGTATTTCTCCTCAGGGCTGCAACTCTCGATTTGGCTTTCAGAGGAGTTCAAGGAATAAGTCACGTGACTTCTCTTTCTTCTGCTAGAAGTGAGTAATCTCGGCTTTATGTTTCTTGCAGTCCTCAGTCAAGCGAGTCCTTTCCCACAGGGTGGCAACCATCGCTGGGGATTCTGGAGTTGTCCAAGAAAGTTTAGTTGCTTTCCTTTCTTCACGATCTAGTACTGGATATGCTCGAATTAAGGAATCTCAGCTTTAAGTTCCTTGCAGCTCAGTCAAGTATTTCTCCTCAGGGCTGCAACGCTCGATTTGGCTTTCAGAGGAGTTCAAGGAATAAGTCACGTGACTTCTCGTTCTTCTGCTAGAAGTGAGTAACCTCTGATTTGTGGTCCTTGCAGTCCTCTGTCAAGTCCTTTCCCACAGGGTGGCAACCATTGCTGGGGATTCTGGAGTTGTCCAAGAAAGACTAGTTGCTTCCCTTTCTTCACGATTTTCTACTGGATATGCTCGAGGTGAGGAATCTCATCTTGTCAAGTATTTCTCCTCAGGGCTTTCGGGAGAGTCCAAGAAAATCACGTTGCTCCTCTTTCTTTTGCTCAAGGTGAGTAACATCAGCTAATTATCCACAGGGCTGCAAGGGGCTTTTAGAGGTGTCCAAGTGAGTCGCTTTGTCTCTCTTTGACACCCCCCACGGACACCTCGTCATATGAAAACTTGCTCTTCGTCCGACGTGGAAGCACAACTGCCCTCCTCGAAATCCCCGGTCTTCTTCACCGGCGTCACCGGATACCTGACAGGCCCCTTCCACTTCCTGCTCAACCCCAAGCTGCGGGGCATCGCCACGACCTTAACGCTCTTCCCCAACTGCCTGTCCAAAGACCGAAAGCTCGACAAGTCCACATTCGGTTTGGGAATCATCTCCACCACGCGAGCCTTGCAATACAAGTGGCTGCACGACTTCGACACGGATCTGTCCAAGACGTTGGGCTTGGGGCTGAAGGGTTTCTTGAAGGCGAAGCTCTCCTTGGGCGCCTCGATCTCGTACCGGATATGCTTGTGGTAGGGCACCTCGGCTTGATGCTTGCCCAAAGCGTCCCTGCAGCTCTCGGTCAGGTGCTTCTCCACTGGGCTGCCGCGTTCGCTCGCCAAGAAGGTCACGTTGCTCTTCTTGGACATCGCCCTGGCCACCACGAGCTCCACCCTGGGGCCAGTGCCCTTCAGAACTTCCAGAGCCCGCTCGTACTTCATGCCGAGGAGGGACTGGCCGTCCACGGCGACTATCTGGTCGGCCCTTTGGACGTTGCCCTTGTAGAAGGCAGGGCTGCCTTGGATGATCGATTGGACGTAGACGTTGCCGTCGGAGCCCTGGGTGATTTGGAGGCCGAGGCTGCCGTTAAGGTCTCTGGTGAGGGTGAGCGAGGAGAGGACGCGTTCCTCGGCGAAGGAGAGGTTGTTGAGCTTCTCGGTGAGGGATTCGCTGAGGGTTTCTTGGAAGTCGGGGAGGAAGGGCTGGGGAGTTGCTTTGACGGTTGAATCTGAAAAAGATTATCTTGTAGTGTAACGATATATAGGATTCTGGCCAATAGGTCGCGTGCAAGAACTGTCAGATGACCGACCCTGGAGGCAAAACATATTTGTTTACAAGTGATCCAAATAGTTTTCCACAATTATTTTGGCATATTAATCGTATTTTTCCGCTATTCATCAATTTGCTAATGCCATTACATTGTGCTGTTGTAAAATGCACAAAAACTGCATCGGAAGATGAAGAAATCCGGATGGTACATACATTATGATTCAAAAGTAAGTACCTACTATAGTCACTCACATAGTTTTCATTTTTGAAATTTGGTTATTTCTCTGATTTCTCATCGGAATTCCTTCTGCAATAGGATCAGCTAATAGAAATATACCTGAAATTTCTAGAATAATGCAAGAAGATTGGATTCATGCAATCAATCGGTAGGACTGGTCTGACATGCTGACGATCGTGTGTGTTGTAGACATTTTCAATCTATTAGCAGCATTAGCTTGTATTGCAGAAGTGGCAGAAGGCAGAAGGAATTTTAATAAGGAATGGCAACATTTTATAATGCTAACTATGTGAGATTACTATTTACCTGAAAAATCATATTCCCTAGTCTCTTGCTGCATTTTTTGTGCATTGTACAACAGCACAATGGGAAGGCATGCTTGAATTAATGAATAACGCAAGAAACACGATTCGTATGCCAAAATATTGTGAAAAACTATTTCAACCTTTTGATTCCTCTGTAACCAAATAAAAAAGTGAGGTTTTGTTTTAATAATTCACAGAAGAATGAGGTTGTGTTTTAATATTTTGCCTCCAGGGTCGGTCTTCGTGCACGCGACCTATTCTGAACAATTTCAACCCCAATAACCTGTTTCAACTAAGTGTCACGGTTCTCAAAATTATTTTTCAGGTACAAGATTTGACTCACCCAAAATATATGCTTCATTTGGTGTACTCTCTCCTGTTGGTGATTTAGATACCGAAGTAGAACTCCAGGGCAACTCAACGGATCTGAGCGACATCTCCTCCAAATAGTCATTGTTCAAGCCATTCATTGCCTCCATAGATCTAGACACACCAGATTTGACATTCGTGAAAGCTCTGGTACCCATTTTTACACCTGAAATGAGAGGTTCCTTATTCCCTACCAAATTTCATGAAATGAAGCTTCATAAGGAATTGGGACAAAATATGAAAGGTGCAATATTCTATTTGGGTCGAATATCTCGAAAACTGTTTATTTCAGCTCGGTGAACGTGATGCATTTTTTGAACAAAATTGAACAATGAATTCGAGGAATTGGAAATAATTGAAATTCAATCAGAGGCGTTGAAAAAATGGAACTTGAAGACCGTATGTCCCTATCTCAGTGATTATGAAATCACGAGGGCTATCACCTGTCGAGCGTTGTCGTTCGAATTTCGCAACACCCTGTATAAAGCATTGTTCATCATCAATAACGAGATCACTAGTGAAAACTAGCCTGGCATCTTTACCTATAAAAACGGAAGTAAAACAGTCCCTACATTACTATCCGCTAAATTCTCAACTGGAATACATTATAGACCATGTTAGTACCTTCAAATGATAACAAGAAAAAACAAACTCACCTCGCCTCCCCACCGAAGGCAGCCCCGACAGATACCTGCTGTCCAACACCAACCCCGCTTTCTTCCTCCTGCCTGGATTTTCGTTCTCCTTATTCTGGAACGCCTCGTCCACGCTTCCATCCAGATCCTGGAAACCGTGCACGCTCCTCGACCGCCTCACCGAACTCTCTGTCACTCCGTTGCCGCTCCTCGATGAACTCCTGAACTCGATCTTGAACTCCGTTTCGTCGCCACCGCCGCCGCAGTCCGACAGGTAGATCGGGTTGGCCATGGACTCCAGCTTGCACAGCGAGTTTGCCTCGTTCTTGATGTCCTTCAAAGGGATGCCAAACTGGTGGGAAAGCGTCTGCGGTGAGATGTACTCGGTGCGCAGGCGCAGGAAGAACTGGTGGTGCAGCGAGGCCAGACGGAAGGTGAAGTAACTTCTAGAAAGAAAAGAAGAATTGTTTTGGTATGATTCGGGAGGAACGGGAAGCAACAGAAACGGATTGTTTTATAGACAGACAAGGGAAGCAAGCATGTGACAGACAGAGAAGGCCGGTAAACAGGAAGGCAGGCAGACAGAGAAGGCGAGCAGACATGCAGAAAGGCAAGGAAAATTAAGAGACAACAGATAGGCAGGCTAACAAACAGGATATGTAGGCAGATTTGGCAGGTAGAAATTTAAATCAGGCAGACATAAAGGGCAAGCAGACCGATAGGACAGGTAGAAAGACAAAGAAGGTAAGCAGACAAACACAGCAGAAAGGCAGACTTTAGCAGGTACGCACAAAGGCAGGAAAAATGAAGATACAGGACAGATAGGCAAGACAGACATATAGGGCAGCCTGACAGACTATGTAGGCAGACAGGGCATGTAGGAATAAAAGTCAGATAGACATGAAGGGCAAGCAAACCGATAGGACAGGTAGACAGACAGGAAAGGTAGATAGACAGGAAAGGTTAAAAAATACAGAAGAAGAAAAACGGAGTATTCAGACATGAAAGCAAAGAAGCATAGACAGACTGACAAATAGGGTTGACAGACTGGATAGACATGGAACAGAGACAGAAAAACGGAAAAAGAGTGGTTCATTTTTTTTTTGAAGCACGAAGTCCTCAAAAAACTGCATGTAACACAATATTTCAATTTTCACTTTTTGATATGATATTTGATAGTTATTATGAATTCAACTTTTATAGAATAAAGATTCGTAATTTTACCAATCAATTCTTGATAAACTGCTATAACCAAAAATCTTCTCGTGGAACTAAAATCAGATTATGAAATAATTGTCACAGCAGCTATAATATCGTGCATGAGAGCTCCATCCCATTATTTTCATACTTAGATTCAAATAAATTTTTTTTATGTACCTACTATAATTTATAAGTGACATCAAATTGTCAGCAGACCGAGAACGGCCGATGGGGTCTGTTGAACAGAAATAGTAATGTCCCGCTTTTACTGACAATTGGGGAAACTCTTCATTATACATTTTTTAGTCATGAGATCTAGTAATTCACAGATGATATCACATTTACTTTTTTTGGTCCATTTTCAGCTTGTATTTCTTCAATTTGGACTCGGACTCGAAATTTTTGTGTGGCAGAATACACAAATATTGTTTGCTGTAGCAGAGTGTCTGTATATGTCTCCATTCAAAGGTTTCGTATAGCTGGGGTCCAGCATTGCTGGTCTGTTGGCCTCTCTCGTACAAGTTCATACCTTGGGCACTGATGTAAAGCCAGACGTCTTTCGGATCGTTATTTTTCAAAATCTAAAAAAAGCAACATATATTGTTTTCAAGTGTTCAACTTAATTAAAATATCAGAATAATAAGTTAAGGTCAATATAATTTATACTGACAATAAATATATTCAATTTTTACAAAATATTTGGAATTGGAGGTTATGAATATACAGGGTAAGCGTATTCCTGTACAAATCAGCAAGTATCAGATCGTAAATGATATTATAAAACAACTCTTTCAATTACTTATGGAAAATACATGACTTCTTTAAATTCACAAAGTACCAACTAGAATAATATCAATTTCATGACATTATAACTCTCCAGTCTATTCAAAATAAAGTTACAGTATTTGAGAAAGTAACTCAACTATAATATTTTTTTCTTGTTCTTACCCAAGTTGCTGTATAGAAATGTCCTCCATAATGGGGCAACGATTGAGCATACGTTATGAAATCCTCTTCCGCTTTTTCGGAATCGAGCCCCCTTTTCGACATGTGAGTTTTGACCAATTCTTTTCTCAAACGTTCGGAGTCCTCTATGACGACTGACATGGTTTCCGGGATGTAGTGTTCGATTAAAAAATAATTTCTATTCCCGTATTCCTGCAAAAATCACACTCTCTATTGTGACTAAAAAAACTCATGATGGGACTTCCACAAAATTCTTCAACATCAATGTATTGATATATCAAATACTTTTGAATCAATTTTATTTTCATACCAGGTGGCACGTTGAAAAGTATCCCCCCTACAACTTTTTCATTTTTGACAGTAGAAAAAAAAAATGACTCGAAAATGGAAAACAGCCTCACAGGGAATTGTTTCTGCTTCTCGAATCAATAGATTCATTTTCACTATCTGAAATGATATTCAGGGAGCAGCAAAAGGTTAATGAATTTTGAATTGAACACCATATACAGTGTGACCCACTTCTAATGGAACCACCCCTGTATCTTACGTAATCGTTGGGTAAGGATCCTGTAAAATCGGAAAATGAAATTTTGTCGCATTTTTTATGGAAGCACCCCCGAATCTCACGTGATTGACTTTATCTTTGGACTTTCTCTTCCTCCGGCAAATTTCAGAACCCTACCTCAATAATTACGTGAGATACGGGGGTGCTTCCATGAAAAATGCGACAAAATTTCATTTTTCCGAACTGAAAATTTTCCAGGAAAAATTTGAATAGTTAGAAAATTGGGCGTCCTGATTCCAAATCTGAAGTGATTTTCGACCTATTTTGACTCCTTATATCATTTTCCGGAAATTGGGGTAGTTTCATGGCTGTTGGCGAGCAGTGTATATCACTGAAGATGACCCCACTTGGTCATAGAGTGCATTTTTGGTATATCTCTCGCTCCAGCAAATTTCAGGATCCTTACCCAACGATTACGTAAGATACAGGGGTGGTTATCCATTAGAAGTGGGTCACACTGTATAATATTTTCTCCCCATTGAAAAAGCATTTTTATTGGAAAGCTCTTCGAAAGATCGGTGCAATGATGAGGACATGATTATATATGGTGTTCAATTTAAAATTTATACACTGTTTCCTCCTCCCTGTATATTTTCTGAGTTCAAACTTCTAAAACGCGCCTCAAAACATTTTTTGTGTAAAATAGTTTCAATACTGTGCAAGATTTCTTGAATTGTCCGGTACAGTCATACTTTTTGTAGGTATTTTCTTTCGTTTTTGTGTTGAAATTATAGAAATCATATTATATACACTGACACTAGAATGCTAATTCCCATAAATTACACAGCAAAGAGCGTGTTGCATATGCAACTTGTTTCAGTTTTAGGTTCCTTGAACTAAAACGTTGCCAGATTTCCGAAAGAGTTATTGATAAAACTATTTTAATCCAGATTAGACTATATGTATATTATATTTATTATTATTATTATTATTATTTGGACTGTTCACAATGGGCTTACATCACACAACATTTTTATTCCATAATTCGATAGAACTCACCTAAACTAGCTCACCACAGGCAACCGTTTATCGCTGTGAGCTCCCTACGTTTTATAAAAAATTATTGAAATCCCCGATTTTTCGGACCTCTGAAAACGAGGCGATGATGTGACGTCAAAACCCTAATACTGAAACAGGACTATTCCAGACAGAGATGAATGATACCTGATTTCTGGCAGAGTGAATTAGCGCGAGATCACAGTTGAAAGAATTAATATATCAGTTGCCTCAGTCTCCGTCCGGCGTTTGGTATTTTCTTTTAACTATGGCGAGATGAGGTTTCTACGTCATAAGAGGGTCCGTTTTCAGATGGTACTATTATTTATGTCCAAAAATTTAACATTCCAGTAAATTTTTCGATCGAATTATGTCGTCAATCATTATTTATGTATGAAAGGATCATTATAAACATGGTTCGAGTTAAACGTTCTACCAAGGTGTACACGCTCATTTGAATCCGATGAATCCGATGAAAAAGTTAATTGATTACTATCAGGTAAATTCGGCAACCTTGACACCTAACGCAGGAGCCATGATCACACTTTTCATAAAATGATTGAGGCGGCCAACGGACTATTTGACAGTTACAGTTAATTTGACAGTAAACAAGATGTTACCACGACGATTTTCTCCAATATGAACTTGATTGAAAGCAACATTAGTGTTTTTTGTTGGGTATGAAATGAACAAAATTTCACATTTCATACGTTAACATTTCGAAAACAATTCAATTTTGGAGTAAACTGTTAGAGAAAACTGTTGAGAATTATGAGCAAATCTCGGAAATGGAATAATATACGCCATTTCAAAACTTTTGGCTTTAATTTTTCACTGAAAAATTAGGTTTTTATGTCACATAAATGCCCTCCAAATTTCGTTGAGATACCAGGTGGTTCAAAAATTATTCTGGGGGGAACGGACTTTCGACGAGCCTTGAAGAGAATACAGAGTTGATTGATTGATCGGTTCAAAAATTAGTCTGGGGGGAACGGACTTTCGACGAGCCTTAAAGAGAATACAGAGTTGATTGATTGATCGACGACTCACCCTCTCCTCATAATCCCCGAACTCCGCCTGCAACGCCAGCCCGTTCAGCTCGACGATCTGGCGGAAGGAGCAGGGCAGCTGGTGCTCCAAGATGGACCTGCGCAGCTGCAGGTAGAGCAGGTGCCTGGCTGCGCGGCCCCGCAGGCCGCGCAGCGACGGCAGGAAGAAGCGCACCCTCGCGAAGAGGGTGAGGGTCGGGACCTTGCAGATCCGGGTGTCGGAGGGCAGGAAGACGAAGTCGCCGGCTATGAGGGCGAACAGGCCCAACATGAAGTTTTCTTCGATGTGCTCCTTCTGGATGATCAGCTGAAGAAGAAAAATGAAAGTGTGTTGATTATACACGCCTATTTTGTGAAACAATGGGATTTCTTCAATTTCCTTAAATCGACCAATCACCAAGCATTTGTAGTGATGAAAAGTTACCTAAGGCCCGTATTTATAGTCGCTCCTTAAGGTGACCTCGTCCCTTAAGGCATCCTTGAGAACCAGTTACCAATTTATAGTCGTAATATGAGCTCAAAGGAAAGAAGCTCCTCTCAATCCAAAGTGTTTGTGAAACAGTTACATAGTTACATCTTTATTCAATTCTGGAGATGAACACTAAATTTCTGACATTTAAAGGAAAACGTTACAGCGTGATTAATTCGGCTTCAATTTTTTTCTTGCCGTTGAGTGTATATCGGTTCTTCTTCAATCATTGAATTTGTGCTATTTGTGAAGTTAATTTGATGAACAGGGTGTGTATCGCAATGCCCAATAGTAGGATGTCCAAATCTCACGATTCCCGAACGATTACGGAGATGACCGAATAGTAAGGCGTTGCGACTTAATCGGAACTACTCCGCATGTAGAACAAATAATTGATAAAAATATATTACCTATCTATCAAACTATCCTAGAAACATGGATTTCCACGATGCTCAATATCCAGAAAGCCCAAATTGTGCAATATCCAAACCCTACCATGTTCGTCGAATATAGTGCAGTATTACCGAATTCCAGTAATACCCTATAATACCCCCACTTACGTCAAAGATATTTATTATTTGAATTAGATTATCATTCCAATCCCTGGGCGAACTAAACTACAATACAACAAAGACAATAAATTCTATCATATTTAACCGAATCAATAGATTACCCCATTATAATGGAACAGTGAGAGACGAGTCATTTACAAATCATACCGCGCCAATTTCATCATTCACGACGCCAAACAATAGGGATGTAAATGATGATGGCGTCATTATACGGGAAAAGTTAGTTCACTACAATGGATCATGCTTTCGCAATTCATTTCCTTTTTACCTGATAGCAGGTATTCAAACAGCGGACGCATTTTCATCGAGGGAAGAGAAAACAGAATAATATGGAAGAACAAAGAGGCTATGATTTTTCGAGTATCAAACTCTGATTTGAACCACCCTTGGATAATTCCATTGTGCTGTCCCAGATAACAAAAAGTGATATTTCAGTGCATTATTGTTTTTATTTCCATGAGGAAATGTGAATTCAGATTCTTCATTTGATTGAAATTTCCTTAACGCAACTGAAGATGTTGAACAATAATGTCAAATATCCCTAAAATCTAGCCCAGAATTGATGACGAGTTGGTACTACTGGGAACATTTATTACGGTCCTTGACCATTTGATTTTTCTAGAAGTTGAATTTTTCAGAATAGAACTCTGCTATAATTCATCAATGAAAAATGTATTTTTTTTGCACCAGCACATTATTTTTCACCAAAAATTATGATATTATATGTCTCTATTCTATTTTCATCTGAATTCAGGATATTGAAACATGAATTAAAATTTCTTGAACAAATCTTGAGGCTGTGAAACATAATGCGGACATGTTCCTCAAATCTATATAGCCCAGAATTGTAGACGAGTTTTCCCAACATCAGAATATAATTGTGTACAAATCTAGTATTTCCTGCAAAATAGTTTATTCAAATATCATAGCAGGGCCCTTTCGGCTTTGAAGCCATCATCAGTAAGTAATGAGCTTTCAGTTTTTGAAGGAAAATAGCTGTTAATAAATTTGAAATTAGTAAAAGTGAGGTTATTTAATCGTCAGATTGAAAAGGAATTCTCCATAATAATATCTTTGGTTCTGTTAAAAAATTCGTTCCTCTTATATGTTTGTACCGGAGAATTCCTTGTCAACCTAGCGAGTAAGTATAACCTCACTTTCACATTTTAAATTTATTAACGGCCATTTTCCTTCAAAAGCTAGAAGCTGATTAACACCTACCTACAGATTCTTACCAATCTTAAAAGTATGCTCTGATGATGGCTTTATACCCGAAAGCGCTCTGCTACGATATTTTTAATAAACTATTCTTCACGAAATACAAGATTTGTACAATAATTTCCAGATTTAACTGTCAGAAGTGATACCATGAGTGCTCGCATACTATTGATGGTAATTCTGTCAGCAATCAAAGAGATCCAATTGCTTGGTAACACCACAAGTCCATAGGAGGAATGGTGTTACCTCGAGCAATTTTGAATTGGATATATCTGACCTGATAATAACCTTGTTTCTGCCGTAATTTGAAAATATTAAATCTGGAAATGGTGTTTGGTTAGCAGCGACCGCGAAATTCAAATTCGCGTACTGTGTCGATAACGCGAAACAACCCCGTGACTATTTATAGCCACTAGATATAGAATAGGACCCAAAACAGTACCTCGTGGGACACCCACGATCAAACAATCCCCGCCACTCACCTCGAACAGTTGGCCGGCAGTAGTGGAGATCGGATTGCAGATCACGTCCAACTTTTGTCCGTTCAGCATGACCACGGTGACGCTTTTCCTGCTGCTACCCTTCAAATCGGCCATGATGAGCTGCCTGCTGGGCTGCGTCGACCTGTGGACGAACTCCGGCCCTACGCGTTCCCTTGCAGCGTTGCCATATTTGTGGGATCTCGTCGGTTCCGATCCGACGCGACAAAGTCTGGACGCCACCCTCTGTACAGGGTTTTGACGTACTCTCAGTCTTCGGTTATTGAACTATAAAGAATTCCAGAGTAGGTGGAATATCTTGATTCTCAGGATTATCGTTAGAACTCATTGAAAGTATCTTAATAGTCATTACTTCAGAATATTGGACGTCAATAGATAGTCACTAAGATTCTTTGAGAACCATTAAAAATCATGAAGTAATGAAAATCCTTCGGAAGCATTTGATATTCATTTGGAGCAGCTAGAAGAAATAAGTCTTTGGAACTCCCTAGAAAGCTTTGAAATTTCTTGGAAATCATTGTATATTTGTCTTTGACAGACAACTGGTCTGTCTTTTCAGAAGTCATTGGAGTTCTTTGGAAGTCTCTTATTGGCATTGGACATCACATAGAGTATTATAGAGTAAGGGAGATTCTTAGGTATCTTTAAAGAGGTATTTGTAATTTTTTTATAATTTTGAAAAATGAAAGTATATGTTAATCTCTGGAAGGCATCACGTCTCGTGTACAATTTTTTTTTCATGGAAATATACCCCTCAAAAAGTGTATTCTAGATACAGATTTCACAATCACCCTATGATTTTCACTAAATTCAACCATCTACTCTGAATCCCGACAGAAATGTATGTTCAGCAGATATAAGGTTCTTTATCTAGGTTAGGACAATATTTGCTTGAAAAGTCGAATTCGTGCCTGCGGGATATTAACATTACCTTCTCGTATCTGACGGTATATTATTACGATACGAATCTCCAACTCTTCATGAATTTGTCAGCTGCTTCGACAGTTAAACCGGATTAATTCCGAAAAACTGCTTCTTGAGCTACTCGATTGGCTAATAGGTATTTCCATTGCACACAATAACGCTCAAATGTTCCTTAAATCTAGTCCCGTATTGTTGACGAGTTTGTCCTACGTAATACTCACCACATCATCGCTGGTCCCTATTTTGACCTCCTTAGATGCCTCATCATTACGTTCCATGGCCCTCTGATTTTTCAAAAAGTCACTATCACATTTCGGCACATTGTTCTCACTACGAAGTCTTCGGTTTTCGATAAAAAAAGGTTCGAAATCGTCGATTCTCTCGTAGTAACCGCGATCAGGCACGCACATCGATTTGGGGCGCACTACTCTACCGGGGGCGTTCGAAAAGTTCTCGTCCACACTGATGTCTTCCATGCTGGTGCTGGCCTCTCTAGTCAGTCTGGGCAAGTTGTGGCTAACGTTTCGGATCAGGCCGAGCCATCTTCGGGGAATGGTACCATAAGTATTCGATGTCAAATCGGACCTGTATAAGCATTGCAAGGTTTTCATGAGATGCCAAGTATGATATAAGCGCTGGTGTGCTTTTATTTGATGGTCAAATATAACTTCAATGATTTTGTGACAGATGGCACATACGATGAGAATCAATGCTACTTTGTAATAATAATGATATGACCAAATGGCAATCGATCGAGGTCCTTCAGCCTCTAAAATTTTGCATCATACATTATTATCTACATCTGCATCATACATATATAAAAAAGGAACGTTTGTCTGTATCTCCCTTATAGAATCGTAAAACGGCTTGACCGATTTCACTAATTATTTTTTTGATGTGTTTGTTATTGTCAGGAGAAGATTCTTAAGAGAGAAAAAAAAACGAATTAAAGATGGCGGATCCAATGTGGCCGACGAGTTCTGTAATTATAATGCGAATCTATTCAAAATTTGTATATCTGGTGGTTTTTGTGGTGGAGATTATGATTCTTTTGTCAAAATTTGGAAATTCAAGATGGCGGATATAATATGGCGGGCAAGTATTGTAATTATGTTCCGATTCTATCGAAACTTTGGTATCAGGGAGTTTTTGAGGTCGGAGATTATGATTATGACACCACACTTCAGAATTTCATTTATTTCAGCTAGTTGAGTTTCATGAATTTTATTTATGCACGACCGAGCGTTAAGTAGTAATATAGGTAACTCGTTATAGGTATTCCTGTATGATTCAGGATAGTTATGTTTCAGTTGTGATTGTTCCCAATCAAAAATTAATCTTGATTAATCTTGATTTCTGATATGCAAAATTATATGATTGTACCCAAAATAAGTTATCTGTGATGACATTAATTGCCAGAAAATATAATAGTCTACTCCTAATTCAAAATATTTTGGGGGCGTGAAGTGGCACTTCACCGACCGGCGTTTTAGTTGTGATGGTTCCTTATCAAATATTACAGTTCTCTTGATATTTCTCAGATGCAAAATGATATGATCGAACCTCGGATCGAACCCAAAATACGTTTTATCTGTGATGACATTGATTGACAGCGAATGTAATTGTCTACTCCTATTTCAAACAATTTACTAGGTTACCATGGTAACGTCAATTCCATCAATGATATTCCCCACTGCAGCAAGAGCATATTCACAATGAGTAATCAAATATATACCAGTCGTGCTTTTATGAACCTGGATGTGTTAATAGCTATTGCTATAGCTTGGGCTCTTACACGCTGCCGTCCATAAAAGACTACTTTACGACCTTGATACATAAATAACTATTATGCACAGAGAGGTTATAAATTGAATCAACAGAATTTCACGATGGTCATCTTTATATCTCTATGGAGACACGATAGTCACTCTTACGAGGAGAGAGTATCAACACTTTGACATCTGCAACGCAGGGAATTTCCATCATGTTCGGCATTCATTTACAGTCTCATGGTCTCAATCCAATTAGTTCTTTTCAACATTATTAACCAAAGGTATTATTGTGATGTTATCAAGACTTTTGAAGCATCATAATGAAATTTGAAAGTTCAGGATATATTTTTAATAAATGAAAGAAATAAATGGAAACAAACTAAATCGGAATAGGATGACACAACACAAAGTAGTAGATGCCGATTTCAAACATATCAATTAATGTCAAATCGGGAGTATTTGCCGCCGGTTTCAGAACAACAAAAATTGTATCTTCCCTACATTCTCGAATAATGAACAGGATATTCCTTATCAGGATTTTATACTTACCTACAAAATCAAACTGTGATCACCATTGAAACATTGCGAACAGGCAGACTACAATGTACTATTGTACCAAACGTTTTCAGCAAATTGAGATGCTTTCCAACTTGATGAACACATTCCTATTATTATTCCAAACAATCACAAACTAGTTATGGCTCATTTCAATCGAAAGGCACGACAAACACCTACCTAGGTACGTATAATAAAATGAAATTATCGCAAAAAATTAAATATTGTACGCAGCGGATCGATAAGGTATGCAATAAAAAATGTTAATGACAGAAAATGTGCAAACGTTAAAAATTAGATATATACCTACAGGATGATTGCGAAAATCATATATCTCTATAAATGAATGATATGTGTATGAGTTATTGAGTAACTCTGATGAAGAAAATGATTCATTTGATTGTGATCATGATAAAACTTATCATGCCCATCTGCGGTAGCAATTTTAATGTGAAATCAAATTTACCACTCTTTTTTCCAATTACTTTCTTCCTATCCTTTAGGAACGCTGAAACTCATGTATGCTTTCAAGCATTGATATTCGTGAAGCATCCGTGATCCGTTTATTGTATCTGTTTGGGTGATGTTTTTTTGAAGTGTGTGAAATAAATCACCCTATCACTATTGGAACATACAATTATGAACAGAAATATTTTCCTCCTATATAATCTATATCCATCCATCGATCCCTGAAATATTTCCTCTCGTTTTCAGATACCCTGTTTACTATATAAGAATATTCCTAGATCATCCAGAGGATGTGCTCGAGAAGATTATGAGGACGTTCTCAGAATATTCTGATGGTGGTGAGGATATTCTGGGGATATTTTAAGAATTTTCTGAAAAATATTATGAGAACGTTCTTGGAATGTGAATTTTCGTCCCATTTGCATGTTCTTAGAATATTCTCAGAACTAACATTGTTCGCTGATGATATTACATTTTTATTTGGGACACCATGTGTTCTCAGGTAACTTTTATATTTGAAGAGATGTTATTTAATCTGAATGGTTGGCTATCATTTCGTGAAGTGTAATTTTGACGAATCACATTAATTCTTGGTAATTTACCAAATTATAGCATCACTCCGTGTATTTCATACCTATTCATTACGAATCGTGCACATAAAAATTAATACTAGTGTAAATGCACAAATAACATAATAAGCGTAAATATATATAAGTAACAGGTGAGTATTTACTGAAAAATATGGTATCAGGAGTCAGGACAGGGCCGTGTAACTACCGGGCCCACGAACAATTATAGTAGGAAAAAACTAGACCTGAACCCAAACATAAAAAAAAAGTTGCCTCGTACGAAAAATTGTTTAGTCTACTCCCCTTAGCACGTAGTAAAAAGTTACACCCCACTGAGCGTCGGGTTTGAGCCTATATCTTGAAAACTATGAGGTTCAGTGCAAAGGTCACGTTTACGAAAATGATCTACATTGAATTTCAAAGGAAAAATGTATCTAACCATTTTTTTCTACAAGCGTGCGTGATTCACCCTATACCCGCACGCAACTTAGTTTGGAAAGTGTCATTTTCCCGCAACAGTGCGAGAAAATTTTCCCACACTAGTTCGGGTAATTTTTTCCCGCACTAGTGCGGGAAAACAAAGATATGACTAAATCGCTAGTAATATAAGTGGTTGGTGATGGAATATAAAAGTTTAAGTTTGTTTGTTGCAGTATTAAGTATGTATGTTCAGAATCATTCATCAAATTGCACTATTTATCGTAAAAATTAAGAAATATTGAGAAATAAAAATTGATTATTATAAAAATCCCCCTATAGATTTGGATTGATCTGACGGGAAACGTCAATTTGTCATGCCAATCAATACTCAAATAAGTTTGAAATTGTCGAAGTGACAGACATAGCGTTACTGTCATTTTCGATTCAGTGGAAATGCCACAATGTGATCAAAAACTTCTAGCTATAGGGATTTGATACACCAACGAAGTCTCAAGAAAGGTATGAGAAGCTATACATGCGTTTTATTGAATGGTGCAACAATAAAGAAATAGAAAAACCAAACGAAGAATAGGTATTTTTTGGCTCATTTCATAGAAGTGTCTGGAACCTAGAGACCAAACTCCTAATAGGCCTGCTGGCTTCCGCAATGAACCAACATAATGCGTCAAACTGTAAGTTCACAATAGCTATTACTAATAATTAATAAATAGAGAATATATATCTCTTGCTAGTTGTTCCTATTTGCTTGAATAATTAATTGAACGATTCAATCAATTTCCTATACGCTTGTAGAAAAAATATTGTTCCTAACTCATGCGGAAAGTTTCTTTCCCGCACTCGACTGCTTGCCCGAACTCCGCTTCGCGTCGTTCGTGTCAACGGCAGTCACGTGCGGGAAAGAATCACTTTCCGCACTTGTTAGGAAAATTACTATTTATTGATGAACGGTTACGGATATATAGAGGGGAAAAATGTCATAATTTTCCAGTTTGTCAAAAAAGGATGAAATCATATTTTCGCATGCGTATTTGGAATGAACTCTTCTTGTATTGTAGCCGTCTGTGAACAGCCTAATGGTACCAGGAACTCCTCAGTTGAGATTTTTTAAAAAATTTATGCGGAGGGAAAATAATTCATATATTAAACCCCTAAGACGTTTTTTCTTATAACTTTGTATTTGGTGAAAGTTTGTCATTAAAAAAAAACATGGCTGAAAAGCCCAATTAATTTATAAACTGTTTTATTTCTGAACGTTTTTTCAAAAACTTCATTTGCCATGTTCTTTTAGAAGAAACATTTTCATCCAAAAAATGTTGTAATTTTCCACCCTCCATATCTCCGTAACTGTTCATTGAACAAAAAAGTTGTACGGAACTATTTTTTTTTTCAGAATCCAATATACAGGGTGTTTCGAAATTCGACCGACAACGCTAGACAGGTGATAACCTTCGTGATTTCATAATCTCTGAGATAGGGACATACGGTCTTGAAGTGTTCAGTTCTCGAGATATAGGGCGTTGAAGTTGAGAAATTAAAATAGTTTTTTCTCGATATCTCATGAAAAATTGAATATAATGCATTCAAATTCGGTATATGGTTTGATCTTCCAATGGTTAATTTTTTGACCAGAAAGACATTCCGAGAATTTTATCCAGAGGTGCGCTACAGAGGGTTGTGATAACTTTTCCGCACATATTTTCTACGCCACTGATGAAATTTCAATTATTTCTAATTTCTCGAATTGATTGTTCAATTATGTTGAAAAAGTGCATCACCTTCAACTAAGCTAAAATGAACAGTTATCGAGATATTTGACCCAAAATAGAAGTTTGCATAGTAATTTTTCATCTTCCTCAGTATTAGAAAATTACGAACATTTTTGTTCTCTCTTTATGCGTGGAATAACTATTTCTGTTCAGCTATAGCATGAGATCTGAATAGTATCTAATCTACTCAACACCAGAAAAATATTTTTGCAATTTTCTACTACTGAAAATGATGAAATATTACTATGCAATCTTCTATTTTGGGTCGAATATCTCGAAAACTGTTTATTTCAGCTCAGTTGAAGGTGATGCATTTTCTGAACAAAATTGAACAATGAATTCGAGGAATTGGAAATAATCGAAATTTAATCAGTGGCGTAGAAAATATGGAAGGAAAAAATGCCACAACCCCCTGTAGGGCACCACTGGACAAAATGTCCGGAATGGCTTCCAGGTCAAAAAATGACCCATTCAAAGATGAAACCATATACCGAAGTTGAATGCATTATATTCAATTATTCTTGAGATATTGCGAAACAACTATTTTCATTTCTCAACTTCAACGCCCTGTATCTCGAGAACTGAACACTTGAAGACCGAATGTTCCTATCTCAATGATTATGAAATCACGAGGGCTATCACCTGTCAAACGTTGTCGGTCGAATTTCGAAACACCCTGTAGATCATTTTCTTGTTTGATTAGAATTAGTATTATTTTTCACAGTTTCGATCTCGTAGTATAAGATTAGTTCAAAATTTAATGCTATTTTTTTCTTGTTATTTTATTTTTTAAGTAGAAACCTACGTGAGTTTAATATCAGTATCTGATATTATTTGTTTTTGTAGCTGTTCATTGTTCTTTGAAAATGATTACTCAGTTATCATCACAATTCTACGAGTCAAAATTAGGGCCTACCATAAATTTCGACCAGTCCAGAGTTTGAAGTTACGCAGTTACGGCCCTGTATCGGGGATTTTTTCACCGATTATAGTCAAATAACATTATTTCCTGGCTCCTTATACATAATAATATATCATGACATAATAACTGAATATATGAGCTGAGGTATATAAGAATCAATTCGAGAATGTTCGGTACTTAATTTTATACAAGGTTTGACTGAATAAGTACGAAAAAAGAGGAGGTTACCTTGTCATATTCTATAAAAAAATTCACATTAACATGTGTCCTAGCTTCCTTGGTTTTTGAGATACAGAATGTTGAAGTTGGAAATATTGATTGTTGGTTTAATGATCACCTTGAATGCGCTTTCCTGGTGAAAAAATTCGATCTGGTTGGTGACTGTCAAAACACGAAATGTCTTATTGGGGTTATTTAGTAATCTAAATGGGTGTCTTGAAATTTTAAGTTAAATTAATTTATTATCGTTTCCCCAAAAACGCAGGAAACAATAATGTACAGAACAACTTTTTATTTAAAATTTGACAATTGCCTGCTTGTCGCAGAAAGAGAAAGTCATTATTATTGATATTTCTTCAATCCTTTGTGAAATTATTTGTGATATAGGCTTTTGAGATTTTTTAGAATCTGATGTACACTCGCCTTCAGAGACCATGTCGCGGTTGGACTGTATGAGCGCTCTTATTGCAGCGGTGATTAAGAGAGAGAGAGAGAGCTGAAGTTTTTCCGCTGTTTTGAAGAATGATGCCATGTGTTGTATTGACCATTGAAATATTGGGTAGATATTCGTATTCACAAAAATCGATTCAATCCTTTGCGAATTAAAAAATACAGGGTGTTTCCGAAATTGAGGCGATGAATAAAATCGGTTATTTTATGGGACATAATGACACGATAATTCAGAAGAAATTGTTTGGAAATTTTTCAAAACATGTGCGCTCCCACCATAACTACATCTTTCAACTATTATTGAACGTCCGACAACATTGCAAAAGTCATTGCTACTTCCGGTCTCGCCAAAAGCAAACGCTTGGGTTGGGCTATTAACCTTTGATCAAAGATTTACAAAAAATTCAGGCAAACTTTGATGCTCAATATCTTCCAAAATATTTTTTTTTTTCGAGAAAAATGTTTTCTTTCATTTCGTTTAGTTTATTCGTCTCGTATCATCCATTTCATGGATTTGCCCATATTTCGATAACACAATCACATGATATCCAGTTTCGTTGGGTATAGATGCAACAAGTAGACTATTATTTAGTTTCATCATCTCATGAGAATCCTACTTAGTAGATTTCATTCGATTGTATCATTCACCTGATTTTTGCAATGGGCCTCAGCTCTGGCATTGCAGGCGGCCCCATCCAAGGTGACTCCAAAGCCACCTCCAAAGCTGCCATGGCTTCCTGGTGGAGATCCATGACGATGTGAGAGAAGGGCCTGTTTTGCTGTCGTTTTGTGCAATACTCAGATATCACCTGAAAACAAGGAGGCCATCAGTTAGAAGCAAGATATACTGGGTGGCATTAAAATAAGTGCAAATAATCAGCACATCAATGATACAGTCTAACGAATATTACTACAATATCAGATTTTTCCTAATTCTTCTAATTAACGAAAAATTTCATCTTGAAAATTGAACGAAAATTGAATAATTGAATTCCGCGTAATTGTGTCTTCCTCACGAAAATTTGTACAGGAGAGACGTCAGGATTGCTACAGGGTAGAAATTCGGGTGGAAAATGAGGTCTCACCCCAAATTTTATTTTGACCCAAATATTTTTATTGTTGTAATTCGATATGTATACGTCGAGCTTTCTTTGGGTTTGAAATATATTCATCTATTCCAATGTCACCCTGTATATGTCGTAGAATATTGGAAACTGAAATAATTTTTGAACAGTTTTACTTTCAGGATAAGTAGTGTGTCATCTACAAATGGGCAACTTTTTTAAAACTCTAACAAGTAGAATTCAACCAAATTGCTGATCAACAACTGATGCATTCAACTTTCAAAATATGATTTTAGGAAATGCATAGCTCATAATATTCGTGCATATATTCTCAATATGGGATGATAATAAATTCTATGTATATAGCCTTCATACAGTGTGTCCCACTTACCATGCTCACCATGGGTATCTTTTTAACGGTGAAAGATACGAGGTCGGTTAAATGACACCAAATGTGGAGTTTGTCAAGGCCAACTATAATGTGAAAAAATATTTTGATAAAATCTATTCGTTTTTGTTTTATACGCCAAAAACAGATTTTGATCATTTTCATGTCTCCTCCGTAACTTCTTTATTCATGAAAATATTCAAATAGGAATTTCACATCCTCATGGCAGTTTTTCAAAGTGATCTCGAAAGAAATATAAAATGTATACCAACTCTTCTAGAATTTGAGGTATCAGCACCAACTTTAGTTTTTCAAATGTGGGTCATAATAGCTCACTATGACTTAGTTACAAATAACTTTTTTTCTCTTACAGATGATATGTCGCAGTAATAGTTTTGTGTTGATAACAACGTAGTTATCGTCATTTATGCAAAAACAAAAAATTATTTGGAAGCCGCCATCTTGAATTTATAAATTTTAACAAAAAACTCATGATCTCCGACCTCAAAAACCCCCACTCACCAATTTTGAATGGAATCGCACCAAATGTTGTCCGCCATCTTGAAGCAGCCATTTTTCAAAATTTCTGTCTGTAATCAAATGTTGCAAGTGAATTTTGACTCATTTCTGGCCGTCCTATCAACTTGAAATTTGGCAGATGTTCGTAAATCCGGTGACAATAATTCATTATGGAATTTTTGTTGAAATTTAAAAAAAAAGGCTGCTCCAAGATGGCGGACAAGATTTGGTCCGATTCCATTCAAAATTGGTAAGTGGGGGTTTTCGAGAACGGAGATCATGAGTTTTTTGTTAAAATTTATAAATTCGAGATGGCCGCTTCCAAATAATTTTTTGTTTTTGTATAACTGACGATAACTCCGTTGTTATCATCTGTAAGAGAAAAAAGAGTTATTTGTAACAAAGTCATAGTGAGCTATGACTTACATTTGAAAAACTGAAGTTGATGCTGATATCTCAAATTCTAGAAGAGTTCGTATGAATTTCATATTTTTTTCGAAATCACTTTGAGAAACTGCCATGAGAATGTGAAATTCCTATATATTTGAATATTTTCATGAATAAAGAAGTTACGGACGAGACATGAATATGATCAAAATCTGTTTTTTGCGTATAAAACAAAAACGAATAGATTTTATCAAAATTTTTTTCACATTATAGTTGGCCTTGACAAACTCCACATTTGGTGTCATTTAACCGACCTTGTATCTCTCACCGTTAGCAAGATACCCATGGTGAGCATGGTAAGTGGGACACACTGTATAGCAAATTAAAATTATCTTTGTATCTGTCTTTTGGGACAAAGCGTTTTGAAGTGACACGAGTCTCTTTTGAGAAGATTTACGGTCTATAACTTTCATCCATCTTGTTTGGTTTTGTTTGCAGAACTTGAATTGCTATAATGCTATTCGGAAACTTTTGTGTTTTATTAACTCGTGATAAAATTGATGGTGTAAACTTCTTCGTACGAAACTGAAAAAAAAGTGAGTTAGTATTCTGTCGTATTTGTTGAACCATCATTGATTAAGAAACCACATCAATCATTACTTCAAATGTACTGATTGTCTCTAAACATAAATCCATTCTTTCGCGTTTACGAGCAATAAGAAATAAAATTGTGAATGCTAGGAGCGCATTACAGGGAATCTCTATTATGTTTGAGGAACATCGTGCACACCTAGAGAGGAGGTAGATGGAATGATTTTTGAACTTTTGGGAATTATGCATTCTTGAGAATATACTTCCTTTGGCAAAGAAATCAGTTCTATAGACAAAAGAGTTTTGATAAAGAGTCGTTCGATATTTCTACGGTGTTTCTATGATGTCAAGGAGTTAATAAGCATGGCATTTCCAATTTCTCGTTACTGGGAACATTGTACTTTTTTCTTCTATTCGAAGGTGCCGTTCATCTCTAATATATAATGTATATACCAAACGACGCGGAATGGAAAAATAACAGGCAATCAGGGATAAGAATCTACTCCTAAATGTGAAATTGAAACCGGGCCAGGCTGAATTGAATTTTCTCGCTATTTGACAGAGAATAGCCGTTATCATTTATGAAATAACCCAGATTCGGCGAACACTATCACGAAAACCCATAAATTCCACATAACGAATGTATTTTGGCGAAAAACTAGGTACACTGGGAGTATAAATTTCCTAAAAGAGAAAAAAATACAATGATCAATGGTTCTTGAACTGATTTGAATAATCAAACATTGGGCAGACAAGATTTTCAGCGGCATTCAGAGTAGAGGAACATTTTATATTTCATCAGTTTGATATTTATATGTCTAATTTCCTGTCCCATACTAGATTCTAACTCGAATGATTTTAAACATCAATTAATTTTAATATCAATGCCAGTTTTCACCAATAGGCTATGATTTATCGCTTTTCATCGTTCTCATCGATATAATGACAGGGCGACGTTATAATTAAAGGTCTACTTGGATCAGTCGGTATGATTGATAGCACGAGGGTCAGCTGGTATATTTAAGGGTCGATAATGATGATGAGCTGTAATTATCACATCATGTTTGAAGTATATCCGATGCCAATTTATTAATCTGTGGAATGGGGCTGAAAAACCGCCAAGAATATATAATAAGGTCCGCGTGAAGAGATCACTCACTATCAATTGGTGTTCAATTAAAATTGATACAAGGTGGTCAAAAAATCTAAATTTATAATTTGTTTCAATCAAATGTCAATTGAACACCAATTTATAGTGAGTGAAAAGTTGAGATAGGGACATGTAAACCGTTTTGATGAATAATGAACAGTTTCGACAGAAAAAAATTCTGAACTTGGAAAATCTCGATTTTGCACACCCTATATGTCAGTAACTTTGACTGCTAGACCCTAAGTATGATACGTCGTTGAAATCAGATCTTCAGGGAGAATTCAAAAATGAAATGAAATATAGGGTGTTCCAATGAAAAAAACATAGCTTTGATGTGCTGTGACCTTACGGAACACCCTGTGTATTTCAAAGAAATTTTGGAATGTGACGCTTGGTTATCACTTCAATTTGAATGCGAAACTTTTTCTCGTATCTCTCAAGACAACAGAGGTATCGAACTCTGGATTCTTAGTTGGCCACCCAGTATATCGGTTTTTCGATAACTCCTTCAGTTATTGAGAGCCCGTGAAAACGCCCAATTTTGCCCACCCTGTACACCTTTCCTGCCTGTTAAGTGTCAGAGAAAAGCCACTTTTTCTGCCGCTTGGCAGAGATACATGGTCTTGGTGGTTTACTTGATTGCAAAATGGAGCTACTCTCGGAGTCATTATAAGCAATCAATCAAGTCAATATAAATCGACTAATAATTTCCCAAAATTTGATAATAAGATCAATTGGGAACGGTTGTTTTTGGATACAATCAAATATTGAACATATTTGACCTAGAGTCATCAAGCAGACGACAGAACTACATTATTTGTTGAACCCCCAATAAAAACATTTGGAAATAAATTCAGATTCTCTCTATATTCATGCCTTCTTTTGTTTCAAGATCATCCACAAGTTCTTCTCTTCTTCATATTCAATGATTGAAACCTTTTAAAGGCCACACTTCCGTAATATAAAAACCCTACTCAAACAGTCCGAACTTACTTCCTACTTGGCAACCTCCATCCAAAATAAGGTCATTCCCTCATCCCTGATCCCAGAATATAGAGAATGGGATAGCGACGAATGGCGAGTGAAGTGGAAGCGGTCGAATAACCGATTGCCTTCCTGTTACAAATCGGGAAATACGTCATATGCTACTCGATACTATCCATCAACGAATTAGATTTATTTGGGACCAACACATGGACACAGGCGTGGACAAATCAAAAGACTGATTGTCGCGAGATTCAGATGAGTGTATATTAAATGTACCCGGAAAAATTAAATCTGAATGAATATAATAATAGTTATTTCCACGAACGTTCTTCAGAAATGTCTGCTATCATTTCATCACTATTGAATCTCGAAATATGTCGAACAACTTTTTACCAAAACTCGTTTGCCTATAGACCAGCGAAGCTTTGGAGTTCTGTGCCAGGGAAAGTATTTTCAAGAACTTGTAATATCCAAAAGTTCAAAGAAATCCAATGCCTACCTAAATACCAGTGCAGGATTAAGGGGGGGGCTATGGGACTATCAGCCCCCGCGATGAATTTCAAGAGGCGGTAGAGAAAAAGAGAAAAGAGGAAAAGCAAGCAGCAATACAGTCGTTGACTGGTTGAGATACTGTTTTTGTGAAAATCATAACATGAACTAATCTAGCGTCAGCTGTGTCTTGGACGCTACAATACAAAAGCGGCGGCGGTACAAACTTTTATTTGATGATGTGAAGGAAAACCGCATTCTACTCAGTAGAGTAGGGGTAATTCCGTGAGTCGTCTAACTCAATAACAAAAAATAAAATCAGAGTTCAGTATTTAATAGGTTGTCGTTGGTATTGTTGGTAATGGTACTAAAAATAAATAAATATTGAAATTGAAATTCAAAAAAATGAGCCAAAAATGAATTCTGGAAACGGCAGGAGATCAATAAACAAAAGCAGTTAGACGAAGTTGTCAAGAAATGACCTAAAATACATTAATTTTTTTCTTAATTCAAATGAGACAGAATCAGAACCGACAGAACCGTCTCCGGGAACTTCACAATCTCAAGACGGGAATGGTAAGTTTTATATTTTTTTACATTCAATACCCCGAAAAAAAGAGTTAGAATCTCATAAATAGATGATCAAAATATGAACACGACTACGCGTTGTTTTAGGGATAATCACAACAAATTCCTAATTCATTGAATATTGGCAATTACTGGGAATTTTTTTACTATCCCTGATGATAAGTAATGCCAGTGGTGAAAGGTCATTCTCAACTTTAAAAAGAGTGAAAAACTACATTAGGAATTCCATGGTAGACGATATATTGAATATCTTATCAATTTCAAGTATTAACAGTGACATGTTATTAAATCTGAATTTTGATGATGCCATTGAAGACTGCATCAAAAAAATCAAGAAAAGTATTTTAGTATTCATCTGAAAAAATGATTTGTTGTTATGTTTAACGTGTGGAGTAAATATAATTTGATTCGTTGTACAGAATGATTTCATGTTATTGTAATATGCTGTAAAAGAAGCAGTACAGTGAAAGGATTATTTGAATTTTGAAACTTACAATTGAAAATTAAATATTTGGCGGCGGCGCGGCGGCATCGTTAAAGTTAGCCCCCGTCGTAAGGGAGTATAAATCCGGCACTGCTAAATACGTATACGATATGTTCCTCGAACACTTTAGGGATTTCCTTTTCCTAAGTGTATTAAACTCGAATAACCGAAAACCGGTTCATTTTAGGTATATGGAATAATACATGAATTTTAATTAGAATCGAGAAAACTCTCTCATTGAAAATACGAAAATGATGTCACTTCCGGAAGAATCGAAAGCTTCATAATACCAAAAATATTTTATGCACTTCAGAGATTTAAAGGGTACCTTCATTCCCTATTTTCGGAGAAAAAAGTGGTACTTCAAATTCCTAGGGACTCAAAGTTACTTTGAATCTCTAGTGATTTAAAGTAAATTTCTTTCGAGATTTATTTGCAATTAAAGCTAGATTTAGAAATGCATTTTCAAAACGTCTGTTGCAATGGGGAAGACCACTGAGAGAAGAAATCCGTGCAAACCTCTTTCAATCGACGAATCATGATTTACGTTTGATGTACAATCAATATTATGAGTTAAAGTTGAAGGGAATTGAATCTATATCGTTTTGAAATCAGCATATTTCATTCGATATTTCAAACAGCCAAATATGATGGTGGAGTCGTGACGTATTAGTCCCGAACTGTAGCTATCTCTCTCTGATACCTCGTCATTCTGCAGTGTTGCAGTGTGATTGGTCAGTTCAAGGACAATAGGCGTGTTGGGACTAAGACGTCGCACCAGTCACACCAATGAATTGACAAAATTTCGAATGGCGCAGGAATTGTGTGTTTTGAAATGGACATATTCTAATTTATTAATTTCATCGTCTTAGCATGAATGACAAAATTCAAAATTAATTCGCTGGTAGTTTTTCAGTATAGAGTTCACGATAATGTCATTTTAAAAAATCAGTGGCCTCCCCCATTGTGGCTTTCATCATCGAATATACGCTCCACAATGACGATGCTTTAAGCTTTTTTGAATTTTCCAAGAAATATGCTAGCTGTACCTTTTCTTCTGAGCATTTTTCTAGGAAAAACTAGTTTATCCCAAAAACCGGGCTTGTCCTGTAACACATACAAACAAGTTTGATCAATATTTAATGTAGTCCCACCCTGTACTATACACTCCTGAATGAAACTTTGGAATGATTTTATGTTCACCGCATTGGGCATGGATAGTTTAGTTCTTGTACCAAACTGCATCATTTATCACGTGGCGTTTCGGATATTCAAGAAATACCATCTTCAGGAGCCTCTTTTCAGAGGGCCGTAGCTCCCTTAGGAAATATTACTCGGCTCATGTTCTTTGAAATTTTCCTTTCTATTTCTGGTCGTAGAAGCCGCTGGTGAAGGTGGCAGGCTAATTTCGGGACACCCTTTATATAGACCTTGAAGTAAATTCTCACCTTCATGTATAGAACGTGAAAATATATGCATATGTTTGGTGTTTATAGGTATATCACGTTATCAAGAGCTATAGTGTTTTTGAGAGGTGATTGATTACATTTTGATTAAAATTTTTTTTCGGATTTCAAATGATTAATGACTATAAGTATTTATATACGATGTCGTCGATTAGAATTTGGAATTTTTTATTATTCAACGAGCTAGTTAATCAATCCACAACTTTTCACGTTATCATTAATTCACTGAATATTTCCGACTCGCAGGTATAGTTGATGATGGCTTAACATCAGGCGAAAGCGCTTTGCGTCTTGATCAATTATTATTGTAAGGTTGTTGTAATTGATCCTAGTTTGTATTGCATTAGAAGTAAATCAGCTACATTGTTATATAACGGATTCATAAATATCAATCAGCGATTAAAAATCCATTAATGTCCAGATGCAATGAAAAATGCGTGCCAATTGACTATTTGGCAGCTGAAATCCGATTAATTTCCAATTATCTGGAAAACTTTCGACGACAAAACACTATCACCAGTCCATGGACTGAAAATCTATAGCGCTCCAATTACTGTTCGAAATTTATCTGCGAACTGCAGCCAAGTTGGGGACAGACTGCGAATCAATTTCGGCATCCATTAGTTATAGAATTGTTTTTCACGAGTCCAAAAATAGGTACCATAATATATGTATAGGCTGTTCCATAAGTATACGGTCATTGAAATGAGAAATGACTTACATACCTCGGGAGAGGAGCAATTTGGAGAAAACGATTGAAAATGCCTCAAAATCTAATAATTCTTAGACCAATCAATTCTTTAGCCTGATTTTCGTGATATTATAGCACATTCGAGAGAATTTTTGGCCTCGACCTGCGGTATCTGCCAAAAATAAAAATTTTCATGGGCCATTGAAAAAACACTCATTTTACGCACTTGATACAAAAATAACTTTACCAACAGAAAGATAGGTTGAATAGAGAAGAAGAATGTCTGAATAAACATTGACTTATATACCTCGGGAGAGGAGCAATTTGGAAAAAACAATTGGAAATACCTCAAAAAAACGAATTTTTCAAGCAATCAATTCTTCACCTTGATTTTATCACAGAAAAATAGTTTAAGATGAGAGAAATAGAACGACTGTATTAACATTGACTAACATAATAATACCTTGGAAGCCGTGCGGAAACATCTTGATCTTGACATATCTGTCACCAGTGTCATGTTTCCGGCATTTTCAAGATTTTGTTCAAATTTCAAATAGAAATATTATAAATTGAGAGCATTAGTATAGTTTATTAAGCAGCAGTATATTATTAGTTGAGTGAGTGTATTGTGCTTTCATCATGGACTGTCTACTGCAATGTGTGAGGATTATTTGAAAATCCGAACATTCGTTTTATTTTATGTACGAAACGTGAGTAAATAAACTATTATCACAGGATTTTCTTGAATAAGGACTTCATATCGTTCAGGAATTTACCATTAGAACTCGAAAAAATTGTGAAAATGAAAATGCGAACTGTATGAATGTATCATGATGCCTGTGAATTTGGTTTGAAACTTCGGAAATCTAGCAAGATTCTCCCACGCCTCGCTATTTCTCCAAAGTAGGCGATATCGGGAGATTTCGAAACTCTTATGTATAGGAAGTGATAACACCATTTGACTTTCTATACATCTATCACATTAACTTACATACATCGAATAGTATGGTGGTTCATACCATTGACCTTGAAATCTTGAATCTTCTCAAAATTCGCTTGACAGCTGTGACAAAATGTCAAAACATTACAAGAGGTTACTTCCTATCGTTTTGGTGCTGATCTTCCCGCCGAAATGGATGGAAAGTAGTAGTAGTAGTGACCAAGCGGGGTCGGAATTAGATACGATAGAAAAAAACCGAACTGCCCTTAAAGCATGGCCCACGATCCAAAGCGGGGAATGTGGGGAACATAGTTTCATGGCCTCGATACAGATTGCAGTAGAGAAGAGGAGATGGAGATACTGCACTGGTACCCTCCTCCACAGGTATACAGGAATCTTATCAGACTGGAAAAGTATGGATATCGGTAATTTTTTTGGTAAAACTGTACTTATCATGCGCGATGTTTTTTTTTTCGAAAATGGTTTGGTACTTACGTATTTTTGTCTGAAATACACAAATTTGATAATGGAAATGTGAACAAAACATTTATCAAGATATTGTCGCAACTCAGATGGTTTTGGTAGATTATTTGGCAAACGGCGTGTCCACCACATGTCGCAACTCAGATGTTGCCCTCCTATGGATCGTAACTTGGCTACTCGCTTGGCTTGATGAGAGGATTTTGATCATTTCACCACCCAACCATATTCATCCCCAAATGAAGAGTCAAGATAGTTTTCGTATAAAATTAACATTTATTGATTCAATGGGAATGTCGTGAATAAATGCTTGCCACATGGCAAAGTAGCAGAGACAAACCATAGTAAATTACCAAACGGAACACAACACAAAACAACCATTCAGAACATGGAAAAACAGTACTTACATTATGACATCTAACATGATGGGGTTGACCAGCAGGATCAAAGTCGGGAGGACGGTACACATTTTGGCAGCAACTCGTGAATTAGTAACTCAATTACGGAGTAAAGTAAAGTGTTATCGAAATGCATTAAAATTAGTAATAATCAAATAGTAATGAATCAACTAGTAATGAATTAGTAATCAGTTATCAGTAATGAGTAAATCAATAATAATCAATAATCAGTAATGAATGGCTTATCGATTCGGAATCTATTTATATTTGGATCGATGCTAACATTGCAATTTTCCGCAATGGCAATGCTCGATACCGGGCGTATAGCTTAGCCCGCATCGCAAGCTAAGCGGTTTCATTCAAATTTTACGGCGATTTTACTAAATATACTGTACGCTAGCACAAACCACGCCCACCGTAATATCTCATCTTTGAAGTACTTCAAAGCAAAACTCAGAGACTATTTATCCTTAACGAACTAACCTATCCCTGATTGCAATATTTTTGAGGAAGGAAAATCGAATGGAGTGTAGAAACACATTGATTAATAATATATTTCAAAAGTTGAGTTCTTCAACAAAATTGAATAAAATGAGACTGTTTATCCTAAACGCACTAACCTATTTGACTTCAAATATTTTATGAAAAACGAAAACCAGAATGAAGTAAAAAAACATTGGTGAAAATAAAAGTTGCGAAAAAAAGTTCAAGTTCACAGCGATTCGAACCATGGACCTTCAGACTGAAAGTCGACAGCGCTAATCAGTAGACCATTTGGGTATATGAATTTACTGCGTACAAGAGATTGACAACGAGAGAGCTTCAGTCGAATTCGTGTCAAAATCATAAAAAGTGTATTCTTGCGTTAGAGCACAGTATATTTAGTGTGATGTGCTGACTCCGAGTATATCGGTAATGTTTGGAGATATGACGTATTATGGTGGGCGTGGTTTGTGCTAGCGTGCAGTATATTTAGGAAAATCGCTACCGGGCGTATAGCTTAGCCCGCATCGCAAGCTAAGCGGTTTCATGCAAATTTTACCGGAACTAGAGTCTAGGAACTTTGCTTTGACATGATCGAAACGCTGTACAAGATGTTTTAATTTGGAAAAGTTAATTTATATTATATATTAGAGATCTAGAAATGAACGAAAGTTTGAGTGATATTATTTCATCGACATTTGTACTTCTTGACAATATTTCACTATAATATGAAGTTACAAATTTCACCTTCTTTTCCGCCTGTCTTCTGGATCGCATTTAGAACAATTTGCCCTTCTTTCTTCATTGGACAATTTATATACCACAATGTACTTCAATGACATATCTTTTTCTATTATATCAGTCAACTAGAAATATGATATTCTTTCGATTTATCCATATTCAGTGAAAAGGAGGAAGAATATCATTTAAAATAATGGCGTGTGTAATGTAATTCAAAAACAATCTGTTGTTTAAATGGCCGTCATCTGGTATGATGGTTCACTTAATATGAAGAACTTGTCATACAAATTATATTTCTATATAAAAATGTGTCATCGAAGTACATCATGAGTATATAAAGTGTCCAATGACAAAATAAGAAGAGCAAGTAGCTGTAAATGCATTCAACACAGGGTGGGAAAAAGATGGCAAGATTTCGAACTTTATTCACGAAATAACTCGATAAATAGTGGTTTGTTCACATTTTCATTATAAAATTCGTGTTTTTTTAGACAAAAGGCAGTGAAATTACACCTTTTCTACCTGTTAAATGTCATCAAGGAGTCACTTTTGATGTAATTAGGACAAAAAGGATTTTTATCATTAGACACGCTTCACATTTCTACAAGAAAATCATTGATATTGAAAACTAATCAAAAATAATGCATTTTCAAGTAAGTCAATAGCTTTTCCAGAAGTATTGCTGTTTTCGTATTGAATTAGAAGATTGCGTTTATTGAACTGATTCTGATACGGGTATGATTTATGAAAATTCTCCGAAGAACACTTCTTTCTCAAAACCTTTGTGGATTCAACCGAAATTCAAAGTGCAATAAGTGATTTATGGTTCCACTAGGTACTGGGTGCTCACTACAGCTAGGTGCGTAAAGAAGTTCAGGACTCTTCCGATCCTAGCAGTCTTCGGACTACACAACGAGGACTTCGTCAAGCCTTTCTCCGTGAGGATTATGAACAAGTTTTTGAAGATACATCCCAACTATAATGGGGACCAGCACGACATTGCTCTGTTGAAGTTGGCAAGCCCTTTGGAAAATATCGGAAGGGTAGTTATACCGAGGAACCGTAGCAATGGTAAAAAAAATCTTCAACAACAACTATTTTAAAGATCAGCTTCAAAAAATTGTTAAAATATGCGGCAACAAAAGCCCCCACATACCATTTTTTAATATAATCGGATTATAATTACAAAATTCGTGCGCCATTTTCAAGCTGCTTTTTTTTGAAAATGATAATATTTATTTCATTCTTTGTTATAAACATTACTTTACGTTTGATTTGAATATAGATATAATTTATTAGGATTCACAATGAAATAACATGAATAATCAGACAGGTTGGAGTCTCTCAGGCTGATGACCTGAATAATGTTGTATCAAACTGATTAATCAATCAAGGGTGGTCCATTTTGAATGTACGATGTTGGCATCACTGTAAATAGAACATATATGAAAAAGCACGTGTTTTTTTAAGAATCTCAAGCACTCTCATCAGCTAGTTCGCAACGAAATGTTTACAAAATGGGTCGTTTAACCACTGCTCAGAACGTTAAAATGTGCGAAAAATATCATATAACAAGTCCACAGTTACTAATGACAATTTTGGGACTTCAGCAGACCGAGAGCGGCTGATGAGACCTGGTGGGTCGAAACAGTACTGTCTCGTTCCTGCTGACAATTGGGGCAGCTCTGTTAATCCTAGATCTCTTAGTTATGAGATTAAGCAGTTGAATAGGTGGTGGAAAAATTCCACTCAAGTATGTCAGGTAGTGCCATCTGTCAGCAGAGTGATTTACTTGTAGTACCACTCTGTAGCGTATAGACGTAGGGGTCTGTACGTGTGACTATAGATGGCAGCGCCATACAGTGTATGTCGCGATATCTCTGTATCCTACCTCAGAGCTTTGCCACAAGATGGCTACAACATGACTACAACTTCATGTTATACCCTGCGTTTAGGAATGAATCACTTCCCACCTTGGTGTGTAATATACTATTACGCGTCACCAATCATAGTGAGTGCCGCGAAAAGCACAAAAGCTGCATTGGGAACTCACCATTACTTGATATTGTTACTACAAATTACTATTAAAGTTTTTTGCTGATTTCAGATGACATAACCAAAGTGTGCAGGAAAGGCCTGACGATGGCCTGGGACGAACCCGGCACCTTGGAGTGCCTGATAACGCCCAGCCTGAGCCTGACCGAATGCAGGAAAATATTCCTCGACCTCCACATCTGGGACATGCAGTTCTGCATAAGAAACGCCAATGACACCGAGAATCGGTGTCTCACGCAGACCGGGGGAGCTTTCATGTGCAGGGGGGTGCAACATGGGATTTTCTCGCAGGGGTCAGGGTGCGGGGACGTACCGGGAGTATATACGAGGATCGACCATTACTTGGATTTTATTTGGGGGACGATAAACCGGGCGCCAAGACAGGTGGTTAGTGTGTTTTTTTGGGGCGTGTTGGTGCTTATGCTGTGTTTATAGAAAGTGACATGGTGTTTTGTATCTAATCTTTCATACAAAATATCAGTAAGGTATAAAAACTGTTATACGATAAACCAGGCGCGGAGAGCAGTGATTTTTTATTCAAGGTGTGTTGTTTTTGAAGTGATGAAAACAGAGTGAAATGATGTTTTTCTTTAAATATTTTAATATTAAAATTAGCTCTTGAATTGACGTTCCTATTGCTGACACAAAAATAGGTATGTTGCTAGGCACTTAGTTCCTAGAAGCTTAAGTTGAACTTTAGCTCCTAGGAACTAAAAAGGATGTACTGATACGCATACCTGATTTGTTTCTGATTTCGGCAGATTTGGCATTTCATACCCATGCTGGAGATATAAATACACCTTATTATAGTTAGGTATTTATGTTTTGATCAGGGAAGCCTTCAAGATTTTCATACTTGTTTGATCTGTATTTCATTCATTATTCTCGGGATGGATAACTTGTTTTTGAATAATCACGGCCAGCAATAGTTTTTTGTCTCAAACAGAGATATTGATTACCTCCATTTGATCAAGACAAACACAGTGGAGAGAGAAATAAATAATCGCTATCATTATTGTTGATATGCTCACTAACCTAACATTTTCGTCTTGTTCCTATACCTGGCACTGGCGCGGTATTTGCCATTAGAGCACCTGGTCCATACACAAATATGTCACTCTGTGGTTGTATTTATATTGAAACTAAAATTCGAACACCCTTGAAAGTTGAATGAATCTACATTAATGCAGGTAGAATATTCTCACCAGACGGGTAATTTGTTGCATTGCATACATATGGCACGGCATTGGTGGTTACTTCACATATTTATTTGAGTTAATTGTTTCGATTGCAGAAAAAATAGCATATTTCATTCGGATCCACAGTGACTTCGTTTGACTCGCAAATTTTTATTTCCACTCGGCTTCGCTAAACGCTCCGCCTCGCAAATGCAAAATTCGCTTGTCAAACAAAGTGTCACTTTTGATCCTAATAAAACAATCTACTATTTGTTTCTTATGGTTAAGACATCAGTAAGCTATTAAAACTCCAATTATTGGATGAGATCGAACATTCTTACCTCGATTCTTACTGTCACTTGTTAGCACAATGGACCTGTTTCAGGGAAAAATTGTATTTCATTATTTCGAAGTACTAACCCTAATGAGTCCACTGTCGTGATCCGTTTTTTCCTCAGAGCTCAATAGATTTTTAAAATAATTATTGACATTCACGATATTTCATAACATGCAAAATACGGAAAAACGCGTGACCTGATCACCCGTGAACAATCCAATGCAATCACGTGACATTTTATGACCTGTCAATAGAGATGAAATTTCAAACATTCTTCAAGTCACAGAAAAAAATCAATTGTAGTCTTGTCTATTGATTATTGATCATCACCATCATCAGACGATGCGATAACTGCTCTAGATTAGATTGAAAGTCATCCAGATATTGTCCCAATTGCTGAAATCTGTCAATTATTGGTTGATAGGTTCAGCTGTCAGATTGTTTTTGACATATTAAAAATTTATGAACTCCAAAGATGTCCTTTGTGAAAAACGATAAGAATAAAAGAAGCAGAAACTGGCGAAGGAATAGAGTGTATAGCATTATTATTATACAAGAATCATTAAGATCCAAGTGACAATGTTCGAATACTTGAGAGATACTAATAGTCATGGAAGAATGAGACGTATATTTTCAACATATAGCACTAGAGCCAAGAAGAACGATGATGCTCTATGCTTACTAGGTCGAATTAGTAGAAAACAAAAGATATCAGTCTCGATAAGCTTTCTATACCGATCTGAGTCCCCTCAGGATTAAGACATTTGCGGACCGCATATTCCCCCTGGGATTTCCTAGGATTGAGGAATTGAGGATATAGCTTTGTAATGGGAATGCGAGAGCTTCCGGCTATATAACATATAAGAATTGTCTATCAGGCTCCGGTTTATTTTCATCCTTCTTTTATATCCCGCTTTTCAGAGAAGCTTACAAGGAGTCATTGACATGGTAGAAATGCTGTTACAGACTTTTTTTTCGTCAATTCAAATGTCTCCGAGAAATGGCAAGCACCTCTGAGATTTTTCATTTCAACAGTCCATTTCACCATTAGGTATCAGGTTGAACTTTTTACTCTCCTTTATTTGAGATTGGTCACAAAATAGGTAATATCACAGTTTAGAGAATATTAGATAATTTTCTATAAACTGTGGTAATATATTCATTAATCACGTGGGAGTAGTGGCAGTGGTGTACCTACAGGGGGGATAAGGGGGATATATTCCCCTCCCATATGCCGATCACGTATCACGTTTTCATCTCTATAAGGATTTCTAGCTTTAGAGCGCAATCTACGATGATGATACAGTCGTTGCTTCAACATCAGCAGTTCGAACTTATGGGATAAGTGATTTCTCATTACAGCTGAATGAAAATTCCGCATCTATTTTTTTATTAAACATTTCGAATCTCAGGCACCTATCCATTCAGAAGATATTGGCATTTTTTTACACGGTGCAGTATCAGTTACATATCTACTGATATTCCTACCTGATATTCTTGAAATTATTATCAACGCCGTAATGAAATCAAGATGTGACACGAACACTTAAATATTATTTTGTAATCCTCAATAAAAATCTGTAAAAACAATTTTATCCCCTCCCCCCACTTCTGGGGACACTTCTGGGTACGCCACTGAGTAGTGGAGTGAGCAATAAAACCGTGAGCTAAAACTTTTATTTTCCACGTGTATAATACACTATTTTTTCTGTGACAGAAAAAAGGACGAATCAATATTGAGAAGATACATAATCTTCTTGCAGTCATCTTTATCATTCTTTCGAAGACATCAAATATCTGTCTAATTTTGTGATTTTATTTAAAAAAATTGCGAACTTAGTGATTGTTTATTAATTTACGTAACCGTGAAGTGGAATGGAGGATAAAAGGAGTTGTTCTTTCTCTTAGACGGTATTATTGATTATTGGCTTATTTTTCGGAACTAGCACAACAAAGCCATCAACAGTGAATGTATAGGGTGAATCGAAATTCGATGTGAATATTTCAAGGACGTATTTTTGGGATCGAAATAAGTCTTATAATATGAATATTTACATCGAATTTTGAATCAGCTTGTATATATCCGGGTAAAAATACCAATTTTTTCCCGTCGGAAAAAAGTCATTTATGAAAAGTGACATTTCATAATCTGACAACAGAGATGAAATGTCAAACTTTTTTACAGTCACAGAAAAAAAAATATCGATTTGACGGCGCCCTAGACATCAGAATGCATTTTACACAAAAGCACTGTACATCTATTAGCTATATTTTAATACAAACGTTGCGATATTGGAAAATACGTAATGCGTAATCACGAATCTAGATGGATTTTGTTATTTGCATTGACGTTTGTGAAGTGAATTTCCATCAGATTTATCGCACGAACTAAAATCGAATTAAATTTAAAACTGTTCAATATGAATTGGGTAATTTCCTTTCAGATAGAAAATATGAATCATGATAAAATGTACCAACAGGTAATGACCAACAATGACATAATTCCAACAGACAGATGAAAATATACAAAGATTCAATTACTGTCCATGAACATCATACATAATGCTTTGAAACGGTTCTGTATTGAGATATAGGGCGTTTGTAGGTTGCGGTTCAGATTTTTTTCAACAAAAACCTTCGATGTTTCAATATCATGAAATTGTAAGAATATTTTCGTACTACTGACTAGGTTTCAATTCATTATCCAATTTCCAGAATATCGAAAGTAAACAGATGGGTCAAAATTTGGGCAACGAACTTTCGAATTGAGCAGTGCATTGGAGTGTTTGAAACTGGCCAATATAGCGTACCAAAATGAATTTCTGTCGATTACCTTATAAGCAGTACTGATAATATGTAACGAGTATTCACCACCCTGTATGTCGATCGATATGTTATGACATGTTATTGATGTATAGGTAGGCTCTGTATAGTTTAGTGATATAAGACCAAGGTTAACATGTGATTTCAACTGATGACTAACATCAACTTGGCGGTTATTGTCTTTCACGGTTATACAGGGTGATTCAGGTTTTAAGGCACAAACTAAAATGGGAGATACATCTCATCATTTTGATCGAAAAAGTTTATATAAACATAAGTCCGATCTCGTTTATTAGCGGAGCTACAGGGGGTCAAAGTTTGATTATTTTTTTCTATTAATTGAAATATCTCGCTTACTTTTAAAGATATCGTTTTGAAATTTGTCGTGGTCAATACTTTCTAGAAGATCATCATTTAAAGCTATTTAAAGATTTTTAAAATCTACAGGGAGATACGTTTTTGGGGGTAGAGGCTTCTTTATCCCCCCCAAACTTTTTCGTAGTACGCCTCTGGCATCTTTCAGTGATCAAATTGTGTGTTTCGTTCAATTTACAGGCTTTTTCGACTTCCCATTTTTTTCGAGAAACAAACCAGTTTTGAGATAAATAAGCATAATTATACGTTCTAAAACATGATAATTTTGCCTATGTTTCGCTTACATTTTATTTTCGTTGCAATGCAATGCAATGAAATGTACTCACTAAAATTGCAATCACGAGTCCAATCTGGATCAGTATTGGGGATACAGATGGTAAAAAGTCAAGGTTTTTTTTTCAGTTGAATAAAATTTGAGTGAAACAGGCAAAATTAACATGTTTTAGAACGTATATGCTTATTTATTTCAAAAACGGTTCGTTTCTCGATAAAACTTGAAGAGCAAAAAAGCCTCTAAATTGAACGATCCACATAATTTGATCACTGAAAAATGCCAGAGGCGTATAACGGAAAAGTTTGGGGGGAATAAGGAAGCGTCTACCCCCATAAACGTATCACCCTGTAGATTTTGAAAATCTTTAGATGCCTTGAAATGATCATCTTCTAGGAAGTATTGACCACACCGAATTTCGGAATGATATCTTGACAAGTAAGCGAGATATTTCAACTAATAGAAGAAAATAATTCAGCTTTGACACCCTGTAGCTCCGCTATTGAACGAGATCGGACTAATGTTTACGTAAACTTTTTTGATTAAAATGATGAGATCTATCTTCCATTTCAGTTTGTGCCTTAAAACCTGGATCACCCTGTACATACCTAGTACAAGTAGCACACTAGGATAGAACATCTAGTTTTAATCTTCTCCTGAAGATGCTAACATAGTCAGCGAAACACATGTCGAGGTGTACAAAATCGGTTTGGTTAGTGGAACAACAGTGTGTGGTGTATTATTTGAGACATTTGTTGAAAAAATGTAATCTCTTCAATGCCCTATCCATATCTATCTGAATATCTTTTCCATCCATATCTATCTGAATATCTTTTGCCAACATTTACTGTCCACGGTATTTGCTCTACAGAAAAGAGCAGTGAGATACCTTTGTAAAGCAAGATCTAGTGACCATTGCAGACCTCTTTTCATTAATTCTAAAATTTTGACACTTACGTGCCTATTTATATTGGAAACTGTTTGTTTGATGCACAAAAATCAGCCTCTGATGAGTGGAATCTCTCGTGATATAAATGTACATACAAGGAATAAAAATAATATTAAACTACCAATACCAAAGACAACGCTCACCAAAAATTCTGTGATTTATGAAAGCAGAAAAATGTATAATCATCTGCCGCAGCATTTAAAAGCATTCGAAAGTTTGAAAAAATTCAGAAAAAGTGTTGCGGATTTTCTCTTACCAAGAGCATATTATGACCTGCAAGAATATTTCGATGAAAGATTCTAGGTTGCAACTATGTTATTCTGATATATATGTTGATACTACTCATTTCATGTAGGTATTTCAGCAAGATTATTATGATGTAACTTTTTTTTATTCGTGTGTGTTGAATTTACATTATGTACCTATTTGTATTTTACCGTACCTATGTTTTACAATGTTAAATTAATTTATTTATTTTTATTTATACATATTATACATAATATTATATAACTTCGTATTGGACACAGTGGAAATCCACTACAATAATTGTAAACCATGCTTTGTCAATAAGGATTATTATTCTTGGACAATAAAGCACAGTATTGATTGATTGATTGATTTATATCGATCCGTTTCTAGAGTATTAATTAGCATGTATTAGTGACTGAAAATTGGTCACACGGTGAAATAAACCCACTCATTACTTCTCCTGAAGAGAGTATTTTTATTCAGTACATCATTTCATGTGAGATGTTCGTTACTTACGTCTAAAAGATGCATCAAGGAAGCCCTGGAAGACGCCTGGGGACGCGTCATATCTGTCAGGACGTGGCATAGTTCTCTGCTTAGCCGCGAGGTGGCCACATGACTTGTCAGAGTCGCTCTTTTCAAAGTTTCACCCAAGGCATATATCCACATCTTGAATAAAAAAATAATGAGTAATTAGTGAGAATAGTAATTTACCTAACAAGTCCGGAAAGAAACATTTTCCGGGCGTGTTGCGTATCTACAGTATTGTTCTAGCAACCAACAAAGCAAGTTTCTTCATGAAATGTATTTGTAGAACAAAATTAGGAACAATTTAATCCTTGTTCATATCAATATTCACCTCAAAAATCGAACATTTGCTACTAATTGTGGGATACACTCGCGATTTCAAATTTCAAAGGGATAAGGTCAGGTGAGTTTGGTGGCCATTCGACGGTACCCCTCTACCAATCCAATGTCAATAACTCTGTAAAATCTCAACCAATTTCCAGAAACGATGCACCAACATATTCACAATGGAAAGAGCTTTAACAAGATGTGTTGGAAGTAGCGTAGTTGAATTTGATTTAAAGTTAAAATTCAAAGTTGGAGTTGCTAGGTATCAACATTTCAGGTTGATTGAACTGTCAAAAATGCTCCTCCCAATAACCTCATACAATGACTTTGTAAAAATGTGTCTGAACCAATCTCTCAATTATTTTATTATAAATTATTGAAGAGCATATCATAATATTGAATAGCAATCATTTCGATAAAACGCGGTATACAATATTGTATCGCTGTAGATCCACAAATATATATTTATGTAGTAATATCACTGGCCACTCGTTATTCATGTTGCTTTGTGGTTTAATTTAATAGATTGCGTTCATTAGCATGGTCCGATGAATTATATATTACTGTTTGAAATGAACCGAACAAACGATAAGTAGGCACTTCAATGAATGTCAAAGTATACATGCACAACGGCAAAATTACGGGAGCGGGGAAAATTCATTTTAACAAAAATTTTCTCAAGTACGTGTTTCTTTCCTTCTCTTCTACACAGATGGCGTTGCTCTCATATTGTTTATGGAGGACGCCTCTGAGGGAATATAATGCCGACTTGATTTTTATTTGGCTAGGCTACGCTTAGTCGGCGGTCTTAAGGCTGGCTGGAGACTGCCCTGCAATGATGAGAGTCAAAGAGCTCGAAACCGGTGTGTAGGTGTCTAGCGTGGTCTGGCTAAATCGAAATCAATAGGCATTTAGGAAAGAATCACTTGTATCAGTATTCGCTTATACGAGTCGATGCATAGATTTCGGGAGGATGTAATTCAATGTTCTGCGTGGAAGTAGCCAGGAAAGTAGTTGTTTTTCTCCCGAAATCTACCATTGTTGTTAATTTTATGAATACTGTGTGGAAATGATTTTGAGCTTTTTGTATTTTTTTTTAATTTTCTCGATTCGTGATTCGAGATAAGAGATCCTGTTTAGTGAACCACTAAATTATTGCCCGATATTCGATTAATTGAAATTAATAATTAATCTGTATGCCGAATCCCTATTGTTAGAAACCTATCCCTGGATCTTATTAAGAACTCAATTCCCTGAAAACTTCATGAGTAATCCTATTAAATCCGATCATTCAGTGCCTTAACCAGAGTTGACTATACTACAGGGCGGGAAAAGGAGGGATTGAAAGGAAATATTATTTCTGCAAATCCTTCATCTGAAATATGAATAATCTTTCTACACATACAGTAACAGTGAAAAATCCCAAGGTATTATGATTGCATATTTCTGTTCCAATAATTATTTCATCTTGTAACCGATGATCTATTCACAGTTCAATTCGTAATTTTGAGTAAAACAACTCTCTACCAAATTGCATTTGTATCGAAAGCTAAAGCTTTGAAATTCTTTATTGCATAGGGAAGCATTCTCAATCACTTATTACTAATGTTCCACGAACAAAATAAGGATTTTCTCTCATGCGTTCCAAGTGATGAAAAAATATTTACTTGGGTAATTTGTCCAATTTGTTGAAATAATAACGATTGATTGAACTTTTTCTTTGTTGTTGTAACATCCTGAATGTGGAGCAGTTTATGTGATGAATTCTGATAAATCGGTGAAAGATCATGTTCAACCCTTACAGTGAAATATTCATGTAAATAAAAACACAAGGTGTCTAAAAACTCAACGTCATCCTTTGGAGGGCTGATAATCAGCTCATGACTGACCAGAAAACTCTCGAGAGTACCTTTCACAATATCATCTCGCATAACAAGAATTAGAATCTTAAGCTATCAATTTTTGTATCGCGGTATTCGAAATACGGATCAAAGGTTTCGATTTTCATGAAATTCATAAAAGTGCCAATATCTCCAAAATTATCAAAATTTCACCAAGGTCATATTGTCATAATCTCTGGTCAGTCATGAGCTCGATTATCAGCCCTCCAAAGGATGACGTTGAGTTTTGGGACACTCTGTATAGTATATAGTGGTTTCAAAAACCCGTATCATGTGATTATTGAATTACTCTACGTGTTTTTTTTTTCAAATTTCATCTCCTCGACATATTTGGATTTTGCATTATACAGGGTGGGCCGAATTGGGTAGGTACTTTTGTAGGGAAAGTTCTATTTCCGTACAAGATAGAAAAAAACTGATGTTGCTGCCTATTGATCAATTCACATTACTCAAAGGTGAGAACCGCATATTAATATCTATCTTTATTTCAGAATTACAAGATGTTTTTGAAAAATGTGAATTTTTGAAAAGTGGCTGAAACTTTTTTCCGTAAAAAATTTTCGTTTTCATGAAAACATTTTCAAAGCATTATGTTTGTCATGAAAATTGATCCTCAGGCACTGAAATCAATCACCGTATAACAATATTGCAAAATAGAACTTTTCTTTCAAGAAGAACAATTTCTTTTCTGGAACCAGATATAGGAAGGCCGATTTCAGTGCCTCGAGAACAATTTGCATCACAAACTCAATGCCTTGCAATTATCATCATAAGAACAGACAATTTTTGCCAAAAAAATTATGTGTAGCCACTTTTCCAAAAATTCATGAGAATCGACCTCAGACACCGACATCGGGTTTCTTCCATCTGGTTCGAGAATAGGACTTTCCCTTTAAAAGTGTCCAATTTGGCCCACCCTGTACATTCGTTTTTCTCACCTTCTCCATCTCGGTGTCAGTAAATTGCCTGTTCCGTCGGTACTCGGGGGCCAAGTACCCTACTAAATGTGGGGCCGTGCCGCCACTGGGTACTACCCGACTCGGGCACAATTTCACCCGCCCTCTGGATGACAGCATAAGGGTCGAGGGTGTCACGAGAGGGATGCAACAGTTGTTGGAAGCGCCATCTGCAAAAAAATTCCACTGATAAAGGACTTCGCACTTTTCCTGAATAAAATGGCGTCCTGTAGAATGTTCTGAATTTCTAGCATAAAACAGCGACCTAATCAACAACTTTTCTTGATGAACTTTTCTGAAATAGGAACAGATGTCAATTGTCATCGATTAATTTAAAAAATTGTACCTTTCGACATATAGCAAAAGTAACGTGACTCCGACCAAGAAAGCCATTTTTCATCTTTTTTGATGTAAAACTCAACGTCCATGTCAAATTTCAAAATGAATTATAATCAAAAGTTTTTCCAATATGATGCCAACTTTAAGAATGACACTGTACAGGAAAAGAGTGGGGTCCAATTAGAATGTGGAAATAATGAAGTTTTTGGTTTTTAGGTTCAAGGAGATTTATTGTGGAGTGATTCACTCATTTCCACAATTACTGTCCTCTAACCCTATTTTGGATCACTGTGTATCATTAAACTCAATGTAAACAACCCCCAAACGAGACGTACTAGGTATAACCCTGTAGTGTATGCAACACAAAATGTGTAAACGATCGAAGGTAACAATTGTATATATAAGATGGCGCTGCTTATTGTATATAGGTTCCATGGTGTAATGGTTAGCACTCTGGACTCTGAATCCAGCGATCCGAGTTCAAATCTCGGTGGGACCTGAATTTTTTTCTTTTTTCAATCATCTCATAATATTTACATACATACAAGGTATCAAATCATCAAACAAAGGAATACTAGCCTTTCCAACTATATCTACCGATAGCCCCTATAACTTTAGATACCTAATTCTTGGAATCGAAAAAAAAAAAATCTCAATCCATTTTGTTTTCGATATTTTTTCGTCACAAATTATCCTCAGAAACACCGATACCTTTCGTTAAAACAGATCATTCCATTTGTCTATCAATTTGAATCTTCCTGTGCCTGTATAGTTCTTCAACGAACCCTTTCTGACTGAATTTTTCAAACAAAAAAAGATGGAAAGATCGGTCAACATTTTTGTGATTTCATGAAGGGAAACAATCAATAATACGAATTGGCACATCAAGACGATATTTAGATTTAGAAGGAAGCTGGAGAATAATGATTCAAAATTTCCTGAATCGACGTCGAAATTCCTGTCGTAATTTGTGGAAATTAATGAAAGCATCGCAGTTGCGGAACGCGTAATTAAACCAACAGTTTTCACGTGATTAATTGATTTTCTCGATCAATGAATTCCTTTCCATCGTCTTACAGGATGTTCTGCTCGGCATTCTTGTTTCTTGTTTCAATAGGGCCATATTTAACCTTTTGCCACTCATTTTTTGAGACACTTCCACATCGTGAATAGAAAAAAAAGGAGAATTTGATTTGAACTTCGTATATATGTATAAGGGCAGTTATACAGGGTGTCCCTGAAAAGTCTGTACAAAAGTATAGCACACATTCCTGAGATTTTATACAGATCTTTCAGGGACACCTGTATATCAATTTCAAGGTACATACAGGGTGATTCAGGTTTCAAAGTACAAACTGAATTGGTTGATAGATCTCATTATTTTGATAAAAAAAATGTGTATAAATATGTTTCCGATCTCGATCAGTAACGGAGATACAGGAGGTCAAAGTTTTATTATTTTTTTCTCACTCACTTCTGAAGATATGCTTATTTAACTCGAAAACGATTCGTTTCTCGGCAAAAATTGAAATGCAGAAAATCCTCTAAATTGAACGATCCACCGTATTTGGTAACTGGAAAATGTGAGATTCGTACTACGAAAAGTTTGGGGGGGGATATAGAAACCTATACCTGCAACAACATATCACCCTGTAAATTCAAAAAATCTCTAAAATGCATAAATCCTAGAAAGTATTAACCATACCAAATGTCAAATTGATATCTTCAAAAGTGGGCGAAATATTTTAATCGATAAAAAGAATAATAAAACTTTGACCCCCTTCTGATCGAGATCGAGCGCATTTTAATATAAACGTTTTTAATTAAAATGATGAGATCTATCACCCAGTTCAGTTTGTACATCAAAACTTGATGCCTACACTATATTGAGTCAGTGGCGGCGACACAGGGGGGCAGTATGGTCCCCCGCCCCTTGCCAAAATATCGTTCTAAGCGCCCCTTTTTTAACCCTGATGCACCGACCTGTGCATTTTTTACCGAATACTCGTCGCCTAGCGATAGTGCCGCCCCACCCTTAATTTCTAGAACCGCCACTGTATTGAGTATTTCAAGAATTATTAACAATTGGTAGAGAAGTGACAGATTTTGAGGAAAGCTCAGAAGAAGAGTGAAATGGTTATTTATGTAACAAATTATAGGAAACGCTTCATTGCGCAAATACGTTTCCTAACATGTTATATGTACAATATATTTTCTGATTTTGATGAAAATTTTCGCTTGAACAGAAATACCATCATAGTAGAGTAAATAGACTGGCAAAAGGCTTCTAGAATAGATTTTCGTGGGCACTTTGTTGCTAAAATGTAAAACCCATTTTTTATCATTCCTAAGACCTTTGCAATGCAAAATCACTTGGTCGTCCAAAAATCGTAGTAGGAGGGGAGTGGGGGGAGCCTTTTTTAAAAAAAAAGCCAATTTTTTTTTACATCGGTTTTCAGATCTAAGATTTGGGATAATTCATTCCTCAAATTTGTATACCCATCCGGAAATCAGAAATATTTTTTTTCAATTTATAAAAATACGTCGCAGCATTGTTGTATATGGAGCGCCTTCACACAAAACCGCTTGCCCTGCACACCCATATTTTTAAAATCATTTAACTCGCTCTACCTCGAAAAGTATTGGGTCTAGCAAAAAAAGGTTTTCTATAAACGTTAAAGACCAAACATCAGAGAACATGTTGGGCTTTTTAGAATTTTGATTGGATAATTGGTTCACGAGAAAATTAAATAAATCGAACGGCATGTCGCGATGAACAGCGGCGGCCGCAGAGACACGAGGAAGGGCGAGATTGCTATGCCTAAGTCAACCGAAAATCCACTCTACTGATGGCGATGTTGGTACGGTCGATTTTACCGTGACTTCACTGTTTTCTTGTAAATTCGAATGCATTGTTCTGGTAGCGCGGATTCCACTGAGATAACTAGTGATGAGTGATAAAGTTCTTGTCTATAAATCATATTATTAAAAGCGAATAATAACTTATTGGTAAGTTAACAATATTTAGAACTTACTTAGTGAGTATTAGGTACAGTTACTATTTTTTTGTATCCTCTAGAAATGGATTTAACGAACAGCAGCAGCTCTGACAGTGAAATTGAGTCGAAAATCAAATTAAGACGTGCTTCTTTTCGTAAAACTTACAATGGACAAGACGTTTTTATTCAAAATGTGTGTCTTATTTGTTTGGAAGGAGGAAAGCTAGTTATCTCTCATGAAAAATAAAAAAAACTATCATTGAATGCACGAAAGAACGTATGACAAATTGTCATGATGACAAATATATGCGGCATATATTCTCAAAGTTTGATGATCTAGAAAATCGAAGTTTTTTAAAATGGCACAGAAACTGTTATAAATCGTATACGAGCTCAAAGAACATTGTCTCGTACAAGTCAAAAAATAACAAACTGGCAGCTGATTTTCCAGCAGATTTTTGTAGAGCAGATATTTTTCAAAAACGTCCCTTGCGGACACCTTTTTGATTCAAAAAAGTGCGTATTTTGTCAGAAGCGATCACAGTATCAAAAACTAAGCCAAGTTATGACTCATAATATGCAAGAAAAAATAAGAACAATATCACGAAGTAACCCTGTGTTTTTTGCGAGAACTGGAGACAACGACTTAATTGCCTCGGAAATAAAATATCATGCCGCTTGCGTTTCAACAGAATTACGCAATCTCAATGAAAAATCGGTTGGAAATACTAATATTGAAAAAACAGACGATAAAGCATTAGAGAAACTTTTTGAGGAAATGAAGAAGGGTTTGAAAAAAGGTAAAAGATACTGCACAAAATCAATTGGCAAAAGATATCGTGGAAATTAGTGGCATTGACGACATGAGTGAGAAACAAATAGTAAAAAAATTAAATACCATTTTGAGGATGATGTTGAGTCAATAAGGTCTCCTAGGCAAAACGAGCCCACAATATTCTTGAAGAAGTTTTCGGAAGAACAGGCAATTGAGACAATCGTGCAAAACCACGACGAATCTGTCCTAGTCCTAGTTTCAGTTTTGGTGCATCGGAGCAACACATTCTAGTAAAAATCTGCCAAACTATCCGAGGTGAGATGAAGAAGATGTCGACTGAGTCCGATTTTTAAAAAATTAATGTTATATAGAGACTACAAAAAGTATATTCCTGAAAGCTTGTACTACCTTGTTAACCTTATTGTCCGCAATGAAAGTGAGAATGAAAAAGAAACTGAAACTTTTGCACGATTGGCTCAATTGCCTGTTCTTTTGAAAACTTCTTCAAGAATATTGTGGGCTCGTTTTGTCTAGGAGACCCTATTGACTCAACATCATCCCCAAAATGGTATTTAATTTTTTTCACTATTTGTTTCTCACTCATGTCGTCAATGCCACTAATTTCACGATATCTTTTGCCAATTGATTTTGTGCTGTATCCTTTACCTTTTTTCAAACCCTTCTTCATTTCCTCAAAAAGTTTCTCTGTTTTTTCAATATAAGTATTTCCAACCGATTTTTCATTGAGAAAGCGTAATTCTGTTGAAACGCAAGCGGCATGATATTTTATTTCCGAGGCAATTGAGTCGTTGTCTCCAGTTCTTGCAAAAAACACAGGGTCACTTCGTGATATTGTTCTTATTTTTTCTTGCATATTATGAGTCATAACTTGGCTTAGTTTTTGATACTGTGATCGCTTCTGACAAAATACGCACTTTTTTGAATCAAAAAGGTGTCCGCAAGGGACGTTTTTGAAAAATATCTGCTCAACAAAAATCTGCTGGAAAATCAGCTGCCAGTTTGTTATTTTTTGACTTGTACGAGACAATGTTCTTTG